ACAGAGGAGTGGTATGCTCCCTGAGTGCCGCTCCCGTTAGCAACCTGGCTGCCGAGCGCTGGACCATCTGAAGCTTCCGGGCAGTCTTCAAGGGCAACCCCACGTAGAGCGCGTTGCAGTAATCAATCCGGGATGTAACCAGAGCGTGGACTACCGTGGCCAAGTCAGACTTCCCAAGGTACGGGCGCAACTGGCGCACAAGTTTGAGTTGTGCAAATGCTCCCCTGGACACCGCCGAAACTTGGGGTTCCAGGCTCAGCGATGAGTCCAGGATCACACCCAAGCTGCGAACCTGCGTCTTCAGGGGGAGTGTAACCCCGTCTAACACAGGCTGTAACCCTATACCCTGTTCGGCCTTGCGACTGACCAGGAGTGCCTCTGTCTTATCTGGATTCAATTTCAATTTGTTCGCCCTCATCCAGTCCGACACAGCGGCCAAGCAACGGTTCAGGACCTGAACAGCCTCCTTAGTAGTAGGTGGGAAGGAGTGACAGAGTTGGACGTCATCTGCGTACAGATAACACCGCACCCCGAAACTCCGGATGATCTCTCCCAACGGCTTCATGTAGATGTTAAATAACATGGGGGACAATATTGAGCCCTGCGGGACCCCACAAGTTGATTTTAACTATGAGACGAGATGAGATGTTATGATGTTTATTGATTGTTATAATGTTATTCTTTTAAATTGTTCTTAACTGTTTTTATCATGTTTAAGTATTGTATTTGCTATTGTGAACCGCTCTGAGTCACCCTGAGGACTGAGAAGAGCGCTATACAAATATAGTAAGTAAGTAAGTAAATAAAAATAAGAGTTCATGAGGGTGTATAGAAGGCCCTAAGAGCACTGAGTAGCCGGAGTCCATTCATAAAACAGGAGTTTCATTCATAAAAAAGGAATCCAATTAATAAATAATAGCCAAATTGGTCAGATGCTAGTTTGGGTTACAGGGGCATTGCCATGTGGGGCCATGGAAGAAGCCTTAGGTTCCCACATGGGGGAGAGATAGGGGATTATGGGATCATTCCAGCCTGGTGTTCTTGGCAAAGGTATGAATTCCCTGATTTTGAACTATCTTTTACAGAGTCCTGGGTGAGGGGGGGGGGTCACCTCTGATCACACCTGTTGCAGAAAGCATTGTAAGGGTTCCTTTAAGACTCTGCATTCCCATTCAACATAGTTTTAACAACTGCTGCTCTGGAGATCTCTTAAAAGAAGATTGACAGCCATGGCATCCGATCCATGGCGAAATACGCTCCGCTGCTCCTCTCTCTGCTACATCCCGTTCTCAGGTTCTCAAAAAAAAATCAGGCATTTTGGCCCAGCATCTGCAAGACTGGGGCAGGTCTGGGCAGAGGCGACGCACCACAAATTGTGGCCTGCGTTAAGAGGAGTTTGTTTCCAAGTCGAAGGGAGCGATAACATTACGTAACACTATTTTTGTTCCTGTCATTTCCTCATTGGTTCTATCATAAAAACGTGTGTGTGTGTGTGTGTGTGAATCATATCTATTTATCTATATCTATGGCTGGATAGTTCTTTGTCAGGAGGGCTTTATGTTTCCTTGCCCTGGTGAAGGGAGTTGGGAGTGGATGGCCTTAAGGCAGCATTTCTCAACCTGGGGTTTGGGACCCCTGGGGGGTGGTTGTGAGGGAGGTGCCTGAGCGGTCACCAAAGACCACCAGAAAACACAGTATTTTCTGTTGGTCATGGGGGTTCTGTGTGGGAAGTTTGCCCCAATTCTGTCGTTGGTGGGGTTCAGAATGCTCTTTGATTGTAGGTAAACTATACATCCCAGTAACTACAACTCCCAAATGTCAAGGTCTATTTCCCCCAAACTCCATCTGTGTTTATTTGGGCATATTGAGTATTCGTGCCAAGTTTGGTCCAGATCCATCATTGTTTGAGTCCACAGTGCTCTCTAGATGTAGGTGAACTACAACTCCCAAACTCAAGGTCAATGCCCCCCCAAACCCTTCTAGTGTTTTCTGTTGGTCATGGAAGTCCTGTATGCCACGTCCCTGTAGACCAGCGTTTCTCAACCTGGAGGTCAGGACCACCCCTGGGGCGGGGGTCGCAAGGGGGTGTCAGAGGGGTCGCCAAAGACCACCAGAAAACACAGTATTTTCTGTTGGTCATGAGGGTTCTGTGTGGGAAGTTTGCCCCAATTCTGTCATTGGTGGGGTTCAGAATGCTCCTTGATTGTAGGTGAACTATAAATCCCAGTAACTACAACTCCCAAATGTCAAGGTCTATTTCCCCCAAACTCCATCTGTTTATATTTGGGCATATTGAGTATTCGTGCCAAGTTTGGTCCAGATTCATCATTGTTTGCGTCCACAGTGCTCTCTAGATGTAGGTGAACTACAACTTCCCAAACTCAAGGTCAATGCCCCCCCAAACCCTTCTAGTGTTTTCTGTTGGTCATGGAAGTCCTGTATGCCACGTCCCTGTAGACCAGCGTTTCTCAACCTGGAGGTCAGGACCTCCCGGGGGGGGGGGGTCACAAGAGGGGTGTCAGAGGGGTCGCCAAAGACCACCAGAAAACACAGTATTTTCTGTTGGTCATGAGGGTTCTGTGTGGGAAGTTTTCCCCAATTCTGTCATTGGTGGGGTTCAGAATGCTCCTTGATTGTAGGTGAACTATAAATCCCAGTAACTACAACTCCCAAATGTCAAGGTCTATTTCCCCCAAACTCCATCTGTATTTATATTTGGGCATATTGAGTATTCGTGCCAAGTTTGGTCCAGATCCATCATTGTTTGAGTCCACAGTGCTCTCTAGATGTAGGTGAACTACAACTCCCAAACTCAAGGTCAATGCCCACCAAACCTTCTAGTGTTTTCTGTTGGTCATGGGAGTCCTGTATGCCATGTTTAGTTCAAGTGTTTCTCAACCTGGGGGTTGGGACCCCGGGGGGGGGGGGTCACAAGAGGGTGTCAGAGGGGTCGCCAAAGATCATCAGAAAACACAGTATTTTCTTTTGGTCATCTGGGGTTTCTGTATGGGAAGTTTTGCCCAATTCTGTCATTGGTGGGGTTCAGAATGCTCTTCGATTGTAGGTGAACTATAAATCCCAGTAACTACAACTCCCAAATGTTAAGGTCTAGTTCCCCCAAACTCCATCTGTGTTTTATTTGGGCATATGGAATATTTGTGCCAAGTTTGGTCCAGATCCATCATTGTTTTAGTCCACAGTGCTCTCTAGATGTAGGTGAACTACAACTCCCAAACTCAAGGTCAATGCCCACTAAACCCTTTCAGTGTTTTCTGTTGGTCATGGGAGTCCTGTGTGCCAGTCTTGGTTCAATTCCATCATTGATGGAGTTCAAAATGCTCTTTGATTATAGGTGAACTATAAATCCCAGCAACTACAACTCCCAAATGACAAAATCATTTTTTAGTGATGGTCACTCCTTGTGTTGTGAGACGTTTTGTTGCCAAATTTGGTGTGATTTTGTTCATTGGTTCTTTTGTTTTTAAGGTACTCATTATGCACAGAACATTTTCATATATAGAGATTATGTCTGTCAAGTCCTGCAGGCTGTGTCCAGTCTCCTTCCTCCAGATTCTGGACTACAACTTTTGTATTCCTTGTCACAAGACATCAGGACTAGAGCTGATGGGAGTTGGGATACAGTCACATCTGGAAGGATGCCATTTATCTGCTTAGTCAGGAGAATTGGGTTTGGGTGTAGATATAAGGCTTATTTACGGGTATGAGGTCCGACTTTAAAATATTTCCCAGTCTTGCAATTCCCATTATCCCCAATCTGTATGGAGGATAATCAGAAGCGATGGGGGTTGTTGTTCAATAAGAAACCTGGGTCTTGAAAGCAAAACGAAGGGGGGAAAACAACCTCAAGATGCATGGTGCTCCACATTTCTGTCCTGAAAGGCAAAGGTGATGTGGACTTAGAAAGGTGTGTGTTTCCAGAGGGTGCTCACCAATGCTTCCTCTTCATCCTGGAAAGAAGTGACGAGTGGAGTGCCGCAGGGTTCCGTCCTGGGCCCGGTCCTGTTCAACATCTTTATTAATGATTTAGATGAAGGGTTAGAAGGCAGGATCATCAAGTTTGCAGACGACACCAAATTGGGAGGGATAGCCAATAGTCCAGAGGACAGGAGCAGGATTCAAAACGATCTTGACAGATTAGAGAGATGGGCCAAAACTATAATTGAAGTTCAACAGTGACAAATGCAAGATACTCCACTTTGGCAGGAAAAACGAAATGCAAAGATACAGAATGGGGGACAATGCCTGGCTCGAGAGCAGTACGTGTGAAAAAGATCTTGGAGTCCTCGTGGACAACAAGTTAAACATGAGCCAGGAATGTGATGTGGCGGCAAAAAAAGCCAATGGGATTTTGGCCTGCATCATAGGAGCATAGTGTCTAGATCTAGGGAAGTAATGCTCCCCATGCTCTATTCTGCTTTGGTTAGACCACACCTGGAATATTGTGTCCAATTCTGGGCACCACAATTCAAGAGAGATATTGACAAGCTGGAATGTGTCCAGAGGAGAGCGACTAAAATGATAAAAGGTCTGGAGAACAAGCCCTATGAGGAGCGGCTTAAGGAGCGGGGCATGTTTAGCCTGAAGAAGAGAAGGCTGAGAGGGGATATGATAGCCATGTATAAATATGTGAGAGGAAGCCACAGGGAGGAGGGAGCAAGCTTGTTTTCTGCTTCCTTGCAGACTAGGACGCGGAACAATGGCTTCAAACTACAAGAGAGGAGATTCCATCTGAACATGAGGAAGAACTTCCTGACTGTGAGAGCTGTTCAGCAGTGGAACTCTCTGCCCGGAGTGTGGTGGAGGCTCCTTCTTTGGAAGCTTTTAAACAGAGGCTGGATGGCCATCTGTCAGGGTGATTTGAATGCAATATTCCTGCTTCTTGGCAGAATGGGGATGGACTGGATGGCCCATGAGGTCTCTTCCAACTCTTTGATTCTATGATTCTATGGCTCTTCAAAGGGGTGTCCTTTGCCTTCCAGGTGGGCCGACAAGCTGAGCGCCGTGGGGTGCAATGGGACAGAGGAACACAACTTCCAGCACCCTTTCCTCCAGGTAAGCAGATGGAAAGTGTCTGGGAAGGAGAGCAGGGAACGTTAAGGTTTTAAGGTCACTGTGTTAAGGCTCCACTTAAATGGAACATTTCCAAGTTCTGGCAAGCAGAGCCACTACCTGAGTCATGGGGCACATCCACACTGTTGAGTTAACACAGTTTGACAACCACTTCCACTGCCATGGATATTGGGTCTTGTGAGTTGTAGTTTGACAAGGTCTTGAGCCTTCTCTGCCAAAGAGGGCTGGTTTCCTGCCAAACCATAATTCTCAGGAGTCCATGTTGTTGTTGTTGTTCATTCGTTCAGTCGTCTCCGACTCTTCGTGACCTCATGGACCAGCCCACGCCAGAGCTCCCTATCGGCCGTTACCACCCCCAGCTCCCTCAAGGTCAGTCCAGTCACTTCAAGGATGCCATCCATCCATCTTGCCCTTGGTCGGCCCCTCTTCCTTTTGCCTTCCACTTTCCCCAGCATAATTGTCTTCTCTAGGCTTTCCTGTCTCCTCATGATGTGGCCAAAGGACTTCAACTTTGTCTCTAGTATCTTTCCATAGTCCATAGGAGTCCATAGCATTGGGTTATAGCAGTTAAAACTGGGGTCAAGCTGCATTAATTCTACCATGTAGATGCACCCAAGGTTATCTTCTCTTTTTGTTATTGAATGTTTGAGCCAATTATTATTATTATTATTATTATTATTATTATTATTATTATTAATATTATTGGGTTGCTCTGAGGTTTCTGGGCTGTATGGCCATGTGTCAGAAGCATTCTCTCCTGACATTTCACCCACAGAATGCTTCTGAAATAGTGTTTCTCAACCTGGGGGTTGGCACCCCTGGGGGGGTCACGATGGGGTGTCGGAGGGGGAGGTCATTAAAGACCATCAGGATACACAGTATTTTCTGCTGGTAATGGGAGTTCTATGTGGGAAGTCTGGCCCAATTCTATCGTTGGTGGGGTTCAGAATGCTCTCTGATTGTAGGTGAACTATAAATCCCAGCAACTTCAACTCCCAAATGTCAAGGTCTATTTTCCCCAAACTCCCAACAGCGTTCACATTTGGGCATATTGAGTATTCGTGCCAAGTTTAGTCCAGATATATCATTGTTTGAGTCCACAGTGCTTTCTGGAGATAGGTGAACTACAACTCCCAAACTCAAGGCCAATGTTCACCTAACCCTTTCATTATTTTTTGCTGGTCATGGGCGTTCTGTGTGCCAAGTTTGGGTCAATTCCATCTCTGGTGGAGTTCAGAATGCTCTATGATTGTAGGTGAACTATAAATCCCAGCAACTACAACTGGGACCAGAGAATGAAAATACATCCTGCCTATCAGATATTTACATGATGATTTGTAACAGTAGCAGAATTCCAATTATGAAGTAGCAACGAAAATAATTTTAGGGTTGGGGGTCACCACAACATGAGGAATTGTATTACGGGGTCGCATTGTTAGGAAGGTTGAGAACCACTGTTCTGGAACATGGTCATACAGCCCAGAAAACTCACAGCAACCCAGTGATTCTGGCCATGGAAACCTTCAACGAAGATTTTCTCTGGTTGAAGTAGCACTGCAGACTCCTTCAACCAGAGAAGTCAGCCATAGCAGAGCACCTGATGAACCAACCTGGACACAGCATATCATTTGAGAACACAGAAATGCTGGAAATGCCACTCTCACAACCACCATGGCAGGCTACGCAGAGAAGCCATTGAAATCCACAAGAAGCAGGTGGACAATTTCAACAGAAAGGAGGAAACCATGAAAATGAACAAACATCTAATCACCTCTCAACAAAAGATTGCCCCAGGCACTGTCAGGCCGTTATATGCTAATCAAGGTGGTCAGTTGAAATATTCCCACCTAGCTCCAGCAGACAAGAGTCCTTTGTCCCACCCTGGACATTCCACAGATATATAAACCCTTTTTCCTAGTTCCAACAGATCTCACCACCTCTGAGGATGCTTGCCATAGATGTGGGCGAAACGTCAGGAGAGAATGCCTCTAGAACATGGCCATATAGCCCGAAAAAACCTACAACAACTTCTACGAACTCTTTATTTGTTTGTTTGTTTGTTTTTATTATGACTGTTGTTTGTTTTATTGTTGCATATTGAAAAGGGCAGCGTTTGCATTAGATGGTAATAATGACCATTATGGAGGCTGAAATCTTTGATGAGCTCCTCATGGTGCATTTGCATACAGTTTGAGACTACTTTAACTTCATTGACTCAAGGCTATGGAGTAAGGGTATGCAACACGATTTGGGTTCCTGGGTTAGAAAAGTCATTTCCAAATTGGTTTTATCATAGAAACATGGAAAACGTTTATTCAACTGCCAAAACTTTATTTTTGCGGAAGGGACAGCCTGTTATATTGCATTTTGTGATCATTTTCAATGAATATCTCATTGAGTTTCAACCAACTCAACCTAGTTTCCGTCAGCCACAAAAACAAAGTTTCTGGAGTAGAACAACTGCTTTCAAAGTAAGTACCGCACAATTAAACAGGAAATAACACTTTCAAACCAGGAACGGAATGTTTTTGGAATTGTTTGGTGAGGCACTAGCACTCTTTGGCAGAGAAGGCTGGAAAATAAATGCCTTGTAAACATTGCAACTCCCACAATTTGAGCCATGATAGTTAAAAGTGGTGTCAAACTGCATTGATTCTACAGCATGCTAGCGATATGTGTCTTGTTCTCCCAGCTCTGGGGTTTTAGTCTGAACTTTGAAAGTATAGACCACATGTCCCCAGAATTTGGCACCCTGGGGAAAAACCCATTTTGAAATCTCAGACTGAAACCTGGAGTGGAGTCTCATCTTTGGGACCTTCCTGAGGATGACGTTATGGAGGAGGCCAAGATCCAGATGTTGACTGGGCTGCCTTGGCTTTGTGCTTTGCAGGCGGTGGGCATGTTCCTGGGGGAGTTCTCCTGCCTGGCCGTCTTCCACCTCCTCCGCTGCCGAGACCGTCGCAGGGCAGAGCCCGTCATGGCCGCCTCGCAGCCCTTCAACCCCATCCTCTTCCTGCCCCCGGCCCTCTGCGACATGACCGGGACCAGCCTCATGTATGTCGGTAAGTGCCTCCAGGTCTCTCTCTCCCTCTTTCCCTCTCTCCCTTCCTCCCTCACTCCCCCCCTCTCTCTCCCCCCTCTCCCCCTCTCAACTTCCCTCTCTCCCTCTCTTTCCTTTTCTCCCCCTCCTCTTCTCTCTCCTTTCCCTCTCCTCCTCGTCCTCCCTCTTCTTCTTTTTCCCTCCTTCCTTCCTTCTCTCCCTCTCCCCCTTCTCTCCCTTCCTCTCCCATCCCCCTCCCTCTCCCTCTCTGCCTCCCTTTCCTTTTTTCCTTCCCTCTCCCCCTCTGTCCTTCCCTCTCCCTCCCTCACTCTCTTTCCCTCCCCCTCCTTCTCTCCTTCCTATTTCCCTCTCTCCCCCTCTCTCCCCCTCTCCCCCCTCTCTCCCCACCCTCTCTCCTTCTCTCTCCCTCTTTTCTTCTCTCCCTCCCTCCCTCTCTCTCCTTCCCTCTCTTTCCTTTTCTCTCCCTCCTTCTCTCTCCCTCCCACCCTCTCTCTCTCTATCCTTCTATCTCTCTCCCTCCCTCTCTTCCCCTCTCTCCCTCTCTCTCTGTCCCTCCTTCTCTCCCCTCTCCTTCCTCTCCCCTTCCCTCTCCCCCTCTCTCCTTTTCCCTCCCTCTTTCCTTCTCTCTCTCCTCTCTTCCCCTCTCCCTCTCTCTCTCTAACCCCCTCCTTCTCTCTCCTCTCCCTCCATCCCTCCCTCCCTCTCTTTCCCTCCTTCCTTCTCTCCCTCTCCCCCTTCTCTCCCTTCCTCTCCCATCCCCCTCCCTCTCCCTCTCTGCCTCCCTTTCCTTTTTTCCTTCCCTCTCCCCCTCTGTCCTTCCCTCTCCCTCCCTCACTCTCTTTCCCTCCCCCTCCTTCTCTCCTTCCTATTTCCCTCTCTCCCTCTCTCTCCCCCCTCTCTCCCCACCCTCTCTCCTTCTCTCTCCCTCTTTTCTTCTCTCCCTCCCTCCCTCTCTCTCCTTCCCTCTCTTTCCTTTTCTCTCCCTCCTTCTCTCTCCCTCCCACCCTCTCTCTCTCTATCCTTCTATCTCTCTCCCTCCCTCTCTTCCCCTCTCTCCCTCTCTCTCTTCCCTCCTTCTCTCCCCTCTCCTTCTCTCCCCTCTCTCTCTCCCCTTCCCTCTCCCCCTCTCTCCTTTCCCCCTCTTTCCCTTCTCTCTCCTCTCTCCTCTCTCCCCTCTCCCTCTCTCTCCTTCCCTCCTTCTCCCTCCATCCCTCCCTCCCTCTCTTTCTCTTCCTTTCTTCTCCATATAATTTTCTTGCAATCATATAGGGAATGGAGAAGGGTACAAGCGTGGATACAGAACAAGGGCATTTTTAACATCTGGCTGTTAGGAATTGTGGGAGTTGAAGTTCAAAACACTTTGAAGGCCGAAGTTTGCCCATGCCAGGACTAGAGCTTTCATGGATGTTGGTATCGACGAGGATCTGATGTAGAATTTCATGTGTTGGGAGGATCATTGCTTTATGCCTGTATTTTGGCGTATGGAGAGGAGGAGAAGGAATCGCATATCTTTGTGTATATCCTCATTTATATACTGGAATCTTACCTCAGGTCTCTTGGTCGCCAAAAGTTGATCCATATTTTAATGTTTAAATTGCCAGTTAATTATATGGTAAATGTTTGTGGTGTATTATAATTTGTTTAGGTTCTTGTGGGTTTTTTCGGGCTATAGAGCCATGTTCTAGAGGCATTTCTCCTGACGTTTCGCCTGCATCTATGGCAAGCATCCTCAGAGGTTGAGAAGGACCTTCTCAACCTCTGAGGATGCTTGCCATAGATGCAGGCGAAACGTCAGGAGAAATGCCTCTAGAACATGGCTCTATAGCCCGAAAAAACCCACAAGAACCTAGTGATTCCAGCCATGAAAGCCTTCGACAATATAATTTGTTTACTTAAGTCATTAACTTGTATAATTTGTGTTTTTTGGGGATTCATTATTATACATTTTATGTTGTGATTATTTTTTTCTATTGTTTTTGTGTTATTTTTTTATTTGTTGGTTGTGATTAACGGCATTGAATGTTTGCCTTTTTTTTATTGGAAACTGCCCTGAGTCCTCCCGGGTAGATAGGGCGGGGTATAAATAAAGTAGCATTATTATTATTATTATTATTATTATTATTATTATTATTATTATGGGGGACAAAATGCTTGCTCTTTTTTGGCTTCAGAGATGGAGGACGTTACATTATTACTATTATTATTATTATTATTATTATTATTATTATTATTATGGGGGACAAAATGCTTGCTCTTTTTTGGCTTCAGAGATGGAGGACGTTACATTATTACTATTATTATTATTATTATTATTATTATTATTATTATTATTGAGGACAAAATGCTCTGCTCTTTTTGGCTTCAGAGATAGAGGACATTACATTAAAATTGTTGTTGTTGTTGTTGTTGTGTTATGGGGGACAAAATGCTTGCTCTTTTTTGGCTTCAGAGATGGAGGACGTTACATTATTACTATTATTATTATTATTATTATTATTATTATTATTATTATTATGGGGGACAAAATGCTTGCTCTTTTTTGGCTTCAGAGATGGAGGACGTTACATTATTACTATTACTATTATTATTATTATTATTATTATTATTGAGGACAAAATGCTCTGCTCTTTTTGGCTTCAGAGATGGAGGATATTACATTAAAATAATAATAATAATAATAATAATAATAATAATAATAATAATAATTATTATTATTATTATTATTATTATTTTGAGAGATTGCTGCCTTACACAAGGAGAGCCAGAGTGGGCCAAATTATAAAGAATGCACTTTTGTCGCTGGCCATGACATTTGGCAGTAAATCCTTTTTGAGGTTTCAGGATTTTGCAAATGGAAGCATGCATGAGATGGGATGGTGTACTAGACTTGGGGGAAATACGGTCCTTCGGCTGAGCCAGGCAGACTATGTCCTAATGTATTGTCGAAGGCTTTCGTGGCCGGAATCACTGGGTTGTTGTAGGTTTTTTCGGGCTATATGGCCATGTTCTAGCGGCATTCTCTCCTGACGTTTCACCTGCATCTATGGCAAGCATCCTCACTACCTCTGAGGATGCTTGCCATAGATGCAGACGAAACGTCAGGAGAGAATGCCTCTAGAACATGGCCATATAGCCTGAAAAACAACCCAAACTATGTCTTTCTCATGGTGGGCTCCTCATGTTCCTCCCCTCCTTGCCTCTCTTCCAGCTCTCTACTCCGTGCCGGGGATCTGCCGCTGGCTCGCCCAGCCCTACTACCCGCTCTCGCTCCTGCTCTCGGTGGCCTTCCTGGGCCGCAAGCTGGCCCTCAGCCAGTGGCTGGGCATCCTGGTCACCATCCTAGGCCTGGTGCTGGTGGGGCTGGCCGACCTCCTCAGCGGCAATGGGCAGAGCCACGGACTCAGCCAGGTCATCACAGGTAGGTGCTCCAGTCTTGGGAATGACACCTAAGCCACTGCTGAAAAAACCATCACTGGACCCCACTCAATACGACAACTATTGGCCTGTTTCCAATCTCCCCTTTTTAGGAACATGGAACCAAAACAGCCTTGGTCGCCTTAGTAGATGATCTGCGTAGGGAACTGGAGAGGGGGAGTGCGTCCTTGTTAGTTCTCCTGGACCTCTCAGCAGCCTTTGATACTGTACAGTACAGTATCCATCTGGGACACCTCATGGGAATGCGGCTGGGAGGTACTGTTTTACAGTGGCTCCGGTCCTTCCTGGAGGACCGTTCCCAGAATGTGTTGCTGATGGACGCCTGCTCAGCCCTGTAGCTTTTGTCCTGTGGGGTCCCGCAGGATTCAGTATTGTCCCCTATGTACATAACATGTACATGAAACCGCTGGGGGACATCATCCTAGCATGATTTTTCAGGATTTTTGAGGGTACTTGAAATATCAAAAAATGAGACCCTGGCAGCGCAATGGGTTAAACTCTTTATTTTATTTGTCATGTCAGAGCAACCAGTCCATTATATTACATTTCTAACAGAAGAAAGCAAACAAACAGACAAATACAAAACTTGTGAGTTTGGTAGTTGGTTAAATGTCCTTTGACCAGTATCTGGCCACTTGGAGTGCCTCTGGTGTTGCTGCAAGAAGGTCCTCCATTGTGCATGTGGCAGGGCTCAGGTTGCATTGCAGCAGGTGGTCAGTGGTTTGCTCCTCTCCACACTCGCATGTCGTGGATTCCACTTCGTGGCCCCATTTCTTGAGGTTGGCTCTGCATCTCGTGGTGCCAGAGCGCAGTCTGTTCAGCGCCTTCAAGTTGCCCCGTCTTCTGTGTGCCCAGGGGGGAGTCTCTCATTTGGTATCAGCCATTGATTGAGGTTCTGGGTTTGAGCCTGCCACTTTTGGACTTTCGCTTGCTGAGGTGTTCCAGCGAGTGTCTCTGTAGATCTAAGAAAACTATGTCTTGATTTAAGTCGTTGACGTGCTGGCTGATACCCAAACAAGGGATGAGCTGGAGATGTCTCTGCCTTGGTCCTTTCACTATTGGCTGCTACTTCCCGGCGGATGTCAGGTGGTGCAATACCGGCTAAGCAGTGTAATTTCTCCAGTGGTGTAGGGCGCAGACACCCTGTGATAATGCGGCATGTCTCATTAAGAGCCACATCCACTGTTTTAGCGTGGTGAGATGTGTTCCACACTGGGCATGCAGACTCAGCAGCAGAGTAGCACAGCGCAAGGGCAGATGTCTTCACTGTGTCTCGTTGTGATCACCAGGTTAAATTCTTGTCCTGGCATGACTGCTGACTGAAATGCTGGCAGTTGAACTCCTAGGAACTGCCCATCTGTCAGCTCCAGCTTCCAGTGTGGGTACATGAGAGAAACCTCCCACAGGATGGCAACACATTGGGGAACAGGGTAATTGTGCTATTCTTGCCTGCTGAGCACGAACCTAAGGAGTATTTCATAGAATCATAGAAGAGTTGGAAGAGACGTGGTGGGCCATCCAGTCCAACCCCATTATGTCAAGAAACAGGAAAATCTCATTCAAAGCACCCCCGACAGATGGCCATCCCACCTCTGTTTAAAATCCTTCGAAGAAGGAACCTCTACCACACTCCAGGGCAGGGAGTTCCACTGTTGAACAGCTCTCACAGTCAGGAAGTTCTTCCTCATGTTCAGATGGAATCTCCTTTATTGTACATTGGTAACTTTGGTACACTGTAATGAGATATAGCAACGAGTCCCAAGGAATGATTTCCAAACCCCTCTGCCATGTGGAATAGGGACGTTTGTCCAGAAATAACCCAATCCATTTGCAGTTTCACATCCGGTTTCTTTTCTTGCGTGGGCCATCCAGTCCAATCCCCTGCTGCCTTCATGCAGGAAAAGCACACTCAAAGCACCCTTGACTTTCTCTTCTGCAGGCTAAACATATCGAGCTCTTTAAGCTGCTCTTCATAGGGCATGGTCTCCAGACTAAGCCCTATATAATCCTTAAAACCATTAATTATAATGATCCTACAGAATTCTAGAGTTGGAAGAGACCACAAAGGCCTTCCAGTCCAACCCATCAAAGCCCTCCCAACAGATGTCCATCCAGCCTCTACTTAAAAAAGACTCCCAAGGCAGAGAGCCCCACTGTTGGGCAGCTTCTACCTGTTGCTCTCCCAGCATGCTCAGGGTCTCTCCTCCTCCTTTCGCAGGTGACCTTCTCATCATTATGGCTCAGGTGATCGTGGCCATCCAGATGGTGCTGGAGGAGAAGTTTGTCTACAAGCACGACGTCCACCCCCTCCAGGCAGTGGGCACCGAAGGTAAGCAAGGCGCAGAAACGCCCCGCTGAAGGGAACCCAGAACACTGCAATTTCATGGAGCTCCCTCTGTCCTTATCAATTAGATCAGTGTTTCTCAACCTGGGGGTCGGGACCCCTGGGTGGCTCGCGGGTTGGTCACCAAAGACCATCAGAAAACACAGTATTTTTTGTTGGTCATGGGGTTTTTGTGTGTAAAGTTTGGCCCAATTCTATCGCTGGTGGGTTTCAGAATGGTCTTTGTAGGTGAACTATAAATCCCAGCAACTACAACTCCCAATTGTCAAGGTCTGTTTTCCCCAGATTCTTCCAATGTTAATATTTGGGCATAGTGAGTATTTGTGCCAAGTTTGGTCCACATCCTTCATTGTTTGAGTCCACAGTGCTCTCTGGATGTAGGTAAACTACAGCTTCCAAACTCAAACCCTTCCAGTATTTTCTGTTGGTCATGGGAGTCCTGTGTGCCATGTTCGGTTCAATTCCATTGTTGGTGGAGTTCAGAATCTTCTTTGATTGTAGATGAACTATAAATCCCAGTAACTACAACTCCCAAATGTCAAAGTCTATTTTTTCCCAAACTCCACCAGTGTCCATATTTGAACCTATTTAGTATTCATGCCAAGTTTGGTCCAGATCCATCATTGTTTGAGTCCACAGTGGTCTCTGGATGTAGCTGAACTACAACTCCCAAACTCAAGGTCAATGCCCACCACCCTCTTCCAGTATTTTTTGTTGTTCATGGGAGTTCTGTGTGCCAAGTTCGTTTCAATTCCATTGTTGGTGGAGTTCGGAATGTTCTTTGATTGTAGATGAACTATAAATCCCAACAACTACAACTCCCAAATGACAAAATCCCCCCACCCCACCAGCATTCAAATTTGGGTGTATCGGGTATTTGTGCCAGAATTGGGAGTTTGGAGCCCTTCCCCCCAGCACCAGGACCAAAATGATGAGAAGGGGGCCAGGAAGACAGTTCCACCTTGCCTCTTGCACTGTGCTAATAATATAATATATTATAATATGATATATTGTGTATACATATGATATTGATAATACTATAATGTGATACAATATAATACTACTACTAATAATAAGATATTATAATTATATATTTTATATTACATGTAATATTATTAATAATATTATAGTATAATGGTATACAGTACAATATAGTAATATATAATACTAATATTGTGCTATGGTAATAATATAATATATTGTATTATTTACATATTACTTTTAAGCCACTCTGAGTTCGGAGAGAGAATGGTGTCATATAGATAGATAGATAGATAGATAGATAGATAGATAGATAGATAGACAGATAGATAGATAGAGCCCAGTGAATGAAAATAGATAGATAGAGCCCAGTGAATGAAAATACATCCTGCATATCAGATATTTACATTATGATTCATAACAGAAGGAAAATGAGTTATGAAGCTGCAATGATAATAATGTTATGGTTGGGGGTCACCACAAGATGAGGAACTGTATTAAGGGGTTGCGGCATTAGGGGGTGCATATCAGATATTTTTGCAATTCATAAAAGGAGCAAAATGACAGTTATGAAGTCGCAACTATAATAATGTTATGGTTGGGAGTCACCACAACATGAGGAACTGGGTTAAGGGGAAGTCTCCCACAGATGCCCAGCTTACTAACTATGGAGCCCTTGCTCTGCAGAGTGCAGAGATGCTCCTCTCTCAAGTGCTGCCTTCAAGCCCAACCCTTTTCCGGCCTATGAGGGAAAGAATGAAGGAGAGAAAGGGGGAAGGAAGGAAGGAAGGAAGGAAGGAAGGAAGGAAGGACGGAAGGAAGGAAGGAAGGAAGGAAGGAAGGAAGGAAGGAAGGAAGGAAGGAGGAGAAAGAGGGAGGGATGGAAGGAAGGTAGAGAAGGAAAGAATGAGAGAAGGAAAAAAGATGGAAGGAAGGAAATAGAGAATAAAGGAAGGATCGGACCAAAGAGCAAAGGAAGGAAGGAAGGAAGGAAGGAAGGAAGGAAGGAAGGAAGGAAGGAAGGAAGGAAGGAAGGAAGGAAGGAAGGAAGGGGAGAAAGAGGGAGGGATGGAAGGAAGGTAGAGAAGGAAAGAATGAGAGAAGGAAAAAAGATGGAAGGAAGGAAATAGAGAATAAAGGAAGGATCGGACCAAAGAGCAAAGGAAGGAAGGAAGGAAGGAAGGAAGGAAAGGAAAGAAAGGAAGGAAAGAAAGAAGGAAGGAAGGAGATAGAGAAGGAAAGAGGGGAGGGAGGGAGGGAGGGAGGGAGGGAGGAAGGAGAGAGAGAAGGAAGGATGGGACCAAAGAGCAGAAGGAAGAAAGTAAAGAAAGAGGTAGAGAAGGAAGGAAGTAAAGAAAGAGGGGAGGAAGGAAGGAAGGTGGAGAAAGAAGGAAAGGGAGAGGGAAAGAAAAAAGAGATGGAAGGAAGGAAAGAAAGAGAGAAAGAAAGAAAGAGGGAGGGAAGGAAGGAAGGAAGGTGGAGAAAGAAGGAAAGGGAGAGGGAAAGAAAAAAGAAGGAAGGAAGGAAGGAAAGGAAGGAAGGAAGGAAGGAAGGAAGGAAGGAAGGAAGGAAGAAGGAAGGAAGGAAGGAAGGAAGGAAGGAAGGAAGGAAGGAAGGAAGGAAGGAAGGAACCAAAGACCAAAGGAAAGAAGGAAGGAAGGAAGGAAAGAGGTAGAGAAGGAAGAAAGGAGAGAAAGAGGAAGGTTGGCCACAGCAACACATGGCAGGTACTGCTAGTGTGCATGTGTGTGTGTGTGTGTATGCATAAGGTAAAGGTTTCCCCTTGGCATTAAGTCCAGTCGTGTCCAACTCTGGGGTGTGGTGCTCATCTCCCTTTCTAAGCCGAAGAGCCGGCGTTGTCCATAGACACCTACAAGGTCATGTGGCCAGCATGACTGCATGGAGCGCCGTTACCTTCCTGCAGAACTGGATTAAGGGGTCGCGGCATTAGGAATGTTGAGAAACACTGGGTTAGAGAGAAAGCTTCATAGAATCATAGGATCCTAGAGCTGGAAGAGACCTCATGGGCCATCCAGTCCAACCCCCTGCCAAGAAGCAGGAATATTGCATTCAAATCACCCCTTCAGTGGAGATTCCTTTCCCCCGATAATAACTCTTCCAGGAGTAGATTTCTCTTCCTTCCTAGGGGGACGATTCCTCTCACTTCCTGTTGTCTCAGCCCCATTCTTCACTATGCGTCAGATGTTTGTAACTTGGGGACTTCCCATATATACAAGTGTGGAGGCTTCTTTCCTTCTCATGTGACCTTGGTATGTATCTTTGCGCTCTCTCTCTGGCCAGGCTTCTTTGGCTTCGTCATCCTCTCCCTCCTCCTGGTGCCCATGTACTTCATCCCGGCCGGCGAGTTCGGCAGCGAGCCCCGCTTTGTCCTGGAGGACGCACTGGACGCCTTCTGCCAGATCGGCCACCGCCCGCTCATCGTCCTGGCCCTGGCGGGCAACATCCAGAGCATCGCCTTCTTCAACTTCGCCGGGATCAGCGTCACCAAAGAGATCAGCGCCACCACCCGCATGGTGCTGGACAGCCTCCGGACCGTGGTCGTCTGGGCGGTCAGCCTGGCCCTGGGTTGGGAGGTCTTCCACGGGCTGCAGATCCTGGGCTTCTTCGTCCTCCTGGCCGGAGCCGCCCTTTACAACGGGCTGCACCAGCCGCTCATGGACCGCCTGCCCTGCCGGAGGGAGAGGGCTCCCGGCACTGCGGGTCCCGAGACAGACAGGGAAGGACTCTTGGCCGCGGACGGAGGGGCGTCCATCAACGGGGACAGCTGAGCCCGGCCCCAGCGCAGTCCTTTTGGGACCGAAAGGCGCACAGATAGATGCCTTCGACTCCGGCAGCTGTGTTTTGCCATAACTTCTGGGAAGTTGTTCTCCCCTTCGGTCATTTTACTCACTATATATCAGGCCTGGGCAAACTTCAGCCCTCCTCCAGGTGTTTTGGACTCCAACTCCCACAATTCCTAACAGCCTACCGGCTGTTAGGAATTGTGGGAGTTAAAGTCCAAAACACCTGGAGGAGGGCCGAAGTTTGCCCAGGCCTGATATATATACTAATATACATACTCATACATACATAATATAAACCTCGTATATGTTACTGACAGGTTTCTTTGGCTTTTGGAAAACTGTTCTCCCATTTGGCCACCATGTTTGCAATATATGTGTGTGCGTGTATATTACTCACATATGACTCAGGCAGCTCTGTTGCATTGTAACATTTGGGAATCTGTTCTCACCTTCAGCCATCTCTCTCTATATGTGTGTGTGTGTATATACACACATATATACATACACACACATTTCTTAAATGTAACTCCACATATATATACACACATACATGCACGCACGCACACATATATAGAGGCTTTGGATAGCCTATATATATATACACACATACACACACACATACACATACATACACATTTCTTAACTAACTGCATATATATATATATATATATACACACACACACAGACATGCACACACACATACATATATATATATATAGATGTGTGTGTGTGTCACACATACATACATACATACATTCATACATACACATTCCTTAAATGTAACTCCATACACACACACACACACACACATATATATATACACACACACACATATATATATGTGTGTGTATATTTGTGTATATACACGTACATGCACACACACACATATATAGAGAGGTTTTGGATAGTCTCTCTCTCTATATATATATATGGATATATGTATGTACACATACACACACATTTCTTAAATGTATACATGCACATACATCTACATATCTGTAGGCTTTGGATAGCCTATAGCTATGTTTGTGTATGTATGTTTGTGTGTATGTATATGTGTGTATATTATATGTATGTGTATACACACACACACACACAGATACACACATACATGTACATACATATATAGAGGCTTTGTATAGCCTATATGTGTGTGTGTGTGTACACACACACCTATATATACATACATACACACACACACACATATGTCACTCAGAAGTTTGACTTTGCACCTTCCTGCAGATTTCTTTGGGCAGCCCTCTTGCTCTTTGTCTTCATGGAAGCCATTCTCCCCTTCTGTCATCTTACATGGGTTCGCTCTGTGTGTGTATGTGTGAGTGTGTATCAAATTTCTGACATATATCTATCTCAGATTTCTTGGGCCATTGTGTTTCACCGTAACTTTTAATTACACTTACTTTGCTTAAAAACTGACCTTTTCTTCTAACCTTTCTTTCACTTTGCCATCTTCCCAAAAGAAGGGGTCGTGTCTTGTTGAGGTTTTGAGCATCTGCAATGACCACCTCCCTTTCTCTCTCTGATGCAGTTGCTCACATTGCCATCTGTGCATGATGGGGGTTGTAGTCCAGCCCAGCAGGAGGACACTTGCTTTAACCTGCGCCAACTATGTTTTCCGTGGTTCTCTCCCACGACCAAAAAAGGGGCTTCTTCCCCTCCATGAGAGACTTTTTACATACAGAGCAGAGCTTTCCTGGGTTCATTCTGTGGATGATGGTGGTGGAAGTACATGAGGGGGGGGGGAGGAAGTAGGGGAGGGAGGGAAGGAGGGCTGGGTTCTCTCTCTTGGGAATATTAATGAAAATGCATCAAGTAGTTAATAAAAAACAGCCTGATTTGGAAGCTCTTTTGTGGCATCCCTGAGTACAACATTGGAAGTCTGGATCTATTAATCCCAACGAGAGAAGGTGCAGATAAGACTGCCATGGAATCATAGAAGAAAAAGGGATTTCAATTGATACAGCCTGGAATCACATTTGCTATGTTAGCTGCTGCATCACGCAGTTGACCCATGTTAAACCTGCTCCAGGATCCTTTTGTCAAGCCAGGTGTTGCACATCCTATACCTTAGGTAATTCACACTGGATTGTAAAGGTTTCCCCTTGACATTAAGTTTAGTTGGTGGTTGACGCTCATCTCCATTTCTAAGCCATTTCAAAGAGTTAGCGTTGTCTATAGACTCCTCCAAGGTCACGTGGCCAGCATGACTTGCTCTCCAGACCTTGATCATTTTAGTTGCGCTCCTCTGGACACATTCCCGCTTGTCAACATCTCCTTTCTGGGCCCCACAATTGAAGGGAGATGTTGACTCTAAGCTGGAATGTGTCCAGAGGAGGGCAACTATAATGATCAAGGGTCTGGAGAACAAGCCCTATGAAGTCTTCTGCCAACAGTTGACCAAACAGGCACAGAGAAGAGATGTAGTAGTCATGGGCGATTTCAACTATCCCGATATTTGCTGGAAAACAAACTCAGCCAAGAGTACAAAGTCCAACAAATTCCTCGCTTGCTTCACAGACAATTTCATGGTCCAGAAGGTAGAAGAGGCAACAAGGGGGTCAGCTACTCTTGATCTCATCCTAACAAATGCAGAGGACCTGATCGATGCGGGTGAAGTGGTCAGATCCTAAGGGGCAAGTGACCATATGCTCCTACAATTTGAGGTACAAAGGAAGGCCGAAATTAAGACAAGTCAAGCCTGCATTTTGAACTTTAGGAGAGCTGACTTCCGAAAAATGAAGGAAATACTGAGCAGCATTCCATGGACACAGATACTAAAAGACAAGGGAGTTACGGATGGATGGGAGTTTTTCAAGAGTGAAATACCCAAGGCACAATTGCAAACAGTGCCAACAAAGAGAAAAAATAGAACAAGTGCAAAGAAGCCAGAATGGATGTCCAAAGAACTTCTAACTGTGCTAAGACACAAAAGAGACATGTACAAGAAGTGGAAAAAGGGAGAAATCACCAAAGAAGAATTCAAACAAATAGCTAACTCCTATAGGGAAAAGGTCCGCAAGGTTAAAGCACAAAACGAGCTCAGGCTTGCCAGGGACATTAAAAACAATAAAAAGGGCTTCTTTTCTTATGTCAGTAGAAAAAGGAAGAACAAGGAGGCGATAGAGCCTCTTTGAGGAGAAGATGGGGCAATGCTGACACGGAGTAGGGAAAAGGCAGAACTACTTAATGCCTTCTTTGCCTCGGTCTTCTCACAAAAAGAAAGTAATCTTCAACCTCTGCAAGACGGAGTGGATGAGGGATTAGAGGACATCCCACCCCAAATTGGGAAAGAAGTTGTCCAGGAATACCTGGCCGCTCTACATGTGTACCTCAAATTGCAGAAGCACATGGTCACTTGCCCCTAAGGATCTGACCACTTAAACTGCATTGATCAGGTCCTCCACATTTGTTAGGATGAGTAGCCAACCCCCTTGTTTCCTCTTCTACCTTCTAGACCATGAAATTGTCTGCAAGGCAAACGAGGAATTTGTTGGACTTTGTACTCTTGGCTGAGTTTGTTTCCTGTTTGATTGTGTGGTATTTACTTTGAAATTAGGTGTTCCGCTCCAGAAACTTTGTTTTTGTGGGGCCACAAATTGTGTGGAGTTGATTGAGAATCCATGAGATCTTCGTTGAAGAGCTAGAGCAAAATGTGCTGCAGGATAGAATCATAGAGTTGGAAGAGACCTGGTGGGGCATCCAGTCCAACCCCGTTCTGCCAAGAAGCAGGAAAGCGGGGAAGCATGACTTCCCTGGATCTAGACACTAGACTCCTATTTACGCAGGCCAAAATCCCATTGGCTTTTTTGCTGCCACGTAATATTCCTGCCTCATGTTCCCCTTCCTCCCCACAAGGACTCTTAAGACCTTTTCCATACTTCCTGCTATTGAGCCCAGCATCCCCCAGAATGCCATGCAAAAATGAAATTTCTGCAGTTTCATAAACCTTTTCTGTGTTTTTATGATCGAACGAATTAGGAAATGACACTGATAAGCCAGGAACAAAAATCATAGTCTTACACAGCCATATATACCATACAATGCTGCAGTGAAATGCATATTAAATGCCGCAAATCAAAGTTTGCATTGTGTTTGGAACATTTAAAGCCATCGACGGATGTATCTGCAAATAGAAAAAGGCCAATTGTAATCATTTTAATGCTAATAATATCACAATCATCCTTCTACTTGACCGCCCGCCTTTCCCTCAATCATGAGACGCCGAGGTGGCTAGCAGCACATCTAAAGCTCTTTGACTCCTGAAGTTTGGATGACGCCATCTTGAAGCGTGTTGCCAACATGGACTGGATGTGCTATGGCCAGGTGTTGAGCCTGCAGCTTGCTGCCCACAAAGTAGTCGCGGTCCTTCACCAGAAACGGAAGCGTGATCTCATCTGGAAGGAGAAACATAGTATCAGCCATGGAAAAGTTGCAGGGAAAACTGGCTTCTCCTCCAGGCTTCCTTTTCCTGAAGATTTCCATTTTGGTAGCTAAACCTATCTAAGTTTATACTGTGACCAACAGGTTAGTTGGGCCTATCTTTTCACTGTTTTGCTACTTGCACAAGCTCAGAAAGGGATTCAGGAGGCAGTTTGCTATTTGAACTTCCTACTGTTCATAGGCTCTTAGAGTTGGAAGAGGACATCCAGTCAAACCCGCTTCTGCTAGACAGCAGGACACAGTCAAAGCCTTCTTGACAGATGAGAGATTTGTGCTTGCGTCTGCAAAAACTTGGGATTTGTAGTCCATAAAGAAGGTGAAACACATAAAACAAAAACCACATTACTTGCCGTCAATACTACGGGTTATCAAGAAAGCTCAATGGATAATTCTGTTAGCCCAATGTTTCTAACCCCGGGGAGGTCATGAGGGGGTTTCAGAGGGGTCACCAAAAACTATCAGAAGACACATATTTCCGATGGTTTTAGGAACCCCTTTGGCAGAGAAGGCTGAAGATCTCTCCGCCTCTCCTTCTCTTCCTTTTTGGAAACAAACGGCGAATCCTCCTGCCAAAAGCCCTCCTCTTGCTGTGATTGTAGGTGAACTATAAATCCCAGCAACTATAACTCCCAAATGTCAAGATCTATTTTCCCCAAACTCTACCAGTATTCCCATTTGGGTATATTGAGTATCTGTGCCAAGTTTGGTCCAGATCCATCATCGTTTGAGTCTACAGTGCTCTCTGGATGGAGGTGAATTTCAGCTCCAAAACTCAATGCCCCCCAAACCCTTTCAAGTATTTCTGTTGGTTATGGCAGTTCTGTGTGCCAAGTTTGGTTCAATTCCACCATTGGTGGAATTACCAGAATTTTGTGCTTTCTCAGTCTCTTTCCCAGCAAACTCTGCTTTCTCCCTGCTGCTTCCCTTTTATTTAAAGAGGAAAGGCAGCCTTTTTGGCTTGGTTTTGCTTGCTTGTGCTGAACATGAAACCAACTTTGGGAGGCTTCCAATGATCATCATTTGACTACCTGAACAACCCACACCATTTTGGGAACTCTAGGGTCCCTCTTGTCCTTTGCTGAATGTTGCGAAGCCCACCTCCTCCAAGATGAACTGAACCACCTAAACTGGGTGTTACAAGCCAATGGAGACTCCACCTCAGACATCAGAAGAGCTGCAAGACCGAGAACAAGCCACAAGAGTGAAGACCAAGATCCACCCCGAGGAAAAGCGTTCTTGCCATACATCAAGGGAACCACTGACCGCATAGGGAAGCTGATGAGGAAACACAACATACAAACTATCTACAGACCCACCAAGAAAATCCAACAAATGCTCCGTTCAGCAAAGGACAAGAGGGATCCTCTCACCTCTGCAGGAGTCTACCAATGTATACCATGCAGCTCTGGACAAGCCTACATAGGGACCACCAAAGCAGCATTGCCCAAACACGAATCAAGGGACATGAGAGGCACTGCAGACTACTTAAGAATAAAAAAAAAAAAAAAAGAAGATAAATATAATAAGAAAAAGAGAAAAGATATAAATAAGAAAAAAAAAAAGAATAAAAGAATAAAAATAAAATAAAGAAAAGAGAAATAAAAAAAACCCCGCCAAGGGAGGGATCCTCTCACCTCTGCAGGAGTCTACCAATGTATACCATGCAGCTCTGGACAAGCCTACATAGGGACCACCAAAGCAGCATTGCCCAAACACGAATCAAGGGACATGAGAGGCACTGCAGACTACTTCAACCAGAGAAGTCAGCCATAGCAGAGCAACAGATGAACCAGCCTGGACACAGCATATGATTTGAGAACACAGAAATGCTGGACCACTCCCACAACCACCATGTCAGACTACACAGAGAAGCCACTGAAATCCACAAGAAGCATGTGGACAATTTCAACAGAAAGGAGGAGACCATGAAAATGAACAAAATCTGGCTGTTGTTGTTGTTCATTCGTTTAGTCGTCTCCGACTCTTCGTGACCTCATGGACCAGCCCACGCCAGAGCTCCCTGTCGGCCGTTACCACCCCCAGCTCCCTCAAGGTCAGTCCAGTCACTTCAAGGATGCCATCCATCCATCTTGCCCTTGGTCGGCCCCTCTTCCTTTTGCCTTCCACTTTCCCCAGCATAATTGTCTTCTCTAGGCTTTCCTGTCTCCTCATGATGTGGCCAAAGTACTTCAACTTTGTCTCTAGTATCTTTCCCTCCAGTGAGCAGTCGGACTTTATTTCCTGGAGGATGGACTGGTTGGATCTTCTCGCAGTCCAAGGCACTCTCAGTACTTTCCTCCAACACCACAGCTCAAAAGCATCGATCTTCCTTCGCTCAGCCTTCCCTAAGGTCCAGCTCTCACATCCGTAGGTCACTACAGGGAATACCATGGCTTTGACTAGGCGGATCTTTGTTGCCAGTCTGATGTCTCTACTCTTTACTATTTTATCGAGACTGGACATTGCTCTCCTCCCAAGAAGTAAGCGTCTTCTGATTTCCTGGCCACAGTCTGCATCTGCAGTAATCTTTGCACCTAGAAATACAAAGTCTGTCACGGCCTACGCATTTTCTCCCTCTATTTCCCAGTTGTCAATCATTCTTGTTGCCATAATCTTGGTTTTTTTGATGTTTAGCTGCAACCCAGCTTTTGCGCTTTCTTCTTTCACCTTGATTAGAAGGCTCCTCAGCTCCTCCTCGCTTTCGGCCATCAGAGTGGTGTCATCTGCATATCTAAGGTTGTTAATGTTTCTTCCAGCAATTTTCACCCCAGCCTTGCATTCATCAAGCCCCCACATCGCATGATGTGTTCTGCATACAAGTTAAAAAGGTTGGGTGAGAGGATGCAGCCTTGCCGTACGCCTTTCCCAATCTTGAACCAGTCTGTTGTTCCGTGGTCAGTTCTGACTGTTGCTCCTTGGTCCTTGTCCAGATTCCTCAGGAGAGAGACAAGGTGGCTTGGGATGCCCATCCCACTAAGAACTTGCCACAATTTATTATGATCCACACAGTCAAAGGCTTTAGAATAGTCAATGAAGCAGAAGTAGATGTTTTTCTGAAACTCCCTGCCTTTCTCCATTATCCAGCGGATATTGGCAATCTGGTCTCTGGTTCCTCTGCCTTTTCTAAACCCAGCTTGAACATCTGGCAACTCTCGCTCCATGTATTGCTGGAGTCTTCCTTGCAGGATCTTGAGCATTACCTTGCTGGCATGAGAAATAAGGGCCACTGTACGGAAGTTTGAGCAGTCTTTCGCATTTCCCTTTTTTGGTATGGGGATATAAGTTGATTTTTTCCAGTCTGATGGCCATTCTTGTGTTTTCCATATTTGCTGGCAAATGGCATGCATCACCTTGACAGCATCCTCTTTTAAGATTTTAAACAGTTCAGCTGGGATCCCGTCGTCTCCTGCTGCCTTGTTGTCAGCAATGCTTCTTAAGGCCCATTCAACCTCACTCCTCAGGATGTCTGGTTCTAATTCATTCACCACACCGTCAAAACTATCCTCAATATTATTATCCTTCCTATACAGATCTTCTGTATAGGCTCGCCACCTTCTCTTGATCTCTTCAGCTTCTGTTAGGTCCCTGCCATCTTTGTTTCTTATCATACCAATTTTTGCCTGAAATTTACCTCCATTGTTTCTAATTTTCTGGAAGAGGTCTCTTGTCCTTCCTATTCTGTTGTCTTCTTCCACTTCCATGCATTGCTTATTTAAAAATAGTTCCTTATCTCTTCTGGCTAACCTCTGGAATTGCGCATTTAACTGGGCATATCTCCCCTTATCCCTGTTTCCTTTTGCTTTCCTCCTTTCTTGGGCTACTTCCAGTGTCTCAGCAGACAACCATTTTGCCTTCTTGGTTTTCTTTTTCTTTGGGACGTACTTTGTTGCCGCCTCCTGAACAATGTCACGGACTTCTGTCCATAGTTCTTCTGGGACTCTGTTTACTAAATCTAGCCCTTCAAATTTGTTCTTCACTTCCACTGTATATTCGCTAGGAATGTTAGTGAGATCATATCTAACTGGTCTGTGTATTTTCCCCGATCTCTTTAGTTTTATTCTAAATTGGGCAATAAGAAGTTCGTGATCTGAGCTACAGTCAGCCCCAGGTCTTGTTTTCACCGACTGGATGGATGTCCGCCACCTTTGGCTGCAAAGGATGTAGTCAATCTGATTTCGGTGTTGACCGTCTGGTGAGGTCCATGTATAAAGCCGTCTTTTAGGTTGTTGGAAGAGAGTATTCGTTATACACAGCGAGTTTTCCTGGCAAAATTCTATTAGCCTGCGTCCCGCTTCATTTTGTTCTCCCAGACCATGCTTGCCTGTGATCCCAGTTGTCATTTGACTTCCCACCTTGGCATTCCAGTCTCCTGTAATGAAAATAATGTCTCTTTTTGGTGTATTATCCAGTAGGTCCTGCAGATCCTCATAGAACTGATCTACTTCTGCTTCTTCAGCAGCTGTGGTTGGGGCGTATATTTGGATCACTGTAATGTTGAAAGGCTTTCCTTGCACTCGAATTGAGATCATTCTGTCATTTTTTGGGTTGTATCCAAGCACCGCTTTAGCGAATTTCTTATTAATTATGAAGGCTACTCCATTTCTTCGATGTTCCTCTTGTCCGCAGTAGTAGATCTGGTGGTCATCTGATGTGAAGTGGCCCATTCCAGTCCATTTCAGTTCGCTGACCCCCAGAATGTCTATCTTTAGTCTTGACATCTCACCAATAACAACATCCAATTTGCCCTGGCTTATAGATCTTACATTCCAGGTTCCTATGGTGTGTTGATCTTTAGAGCATCGGATTCGTCGTTCACCTCCAGTACCGTCGGCCGCTAGCCTTCCTTTCGGCTTTGAGCTAGCTGCGTCATCACATCTGGGGCTAGTTGAACTTATCCTCTGCTCCTCCCCAGTAGCATTTTGGCCATCTTCCGACCTGGGAGTCCCATCTTCCAATGGCATACCGACATATCTCTGGTTGTACTGGTCCATTTAGTTTTCTTGGCAAGGATACTGGAGTGGTTTGCCATTGCCTTCCCCAGGGATCACGCTTGGTCTGACCTCTCTGCCACAACCGTCCCGTCTTGGGTGGCCCTTCACGGTTTCGCTCATGACATCATTGAGGTGCTCAAGCTCCAGCGCCCCGACAAGGCGGTGATCCTTTGCTGAAGAAAATCTGGCTACCAGTATTAAAAAACTCTAAAATTACAACAGCAAAACAACAGAGAGGAAACAATCAGGGACACCTAATTGCCTCTCAACAAAAAATTGCTCCAGGTACTTTCAGGCCATCAAATCCTAATCAAGGTGGTCAGTTGAAACATTCACACCTAACTTCAACAGATAAGAGTCCTTTGTACATGTTACAATGGCTGTGAAGGCGGAAGAAGGTTGTTTTAATGTTTTATTGTACTTATATGTTAACGTGTAATATGATGCATTGTGTGGTTTTTGTATATAGTATATGATCACATGTTGTGAACCGGTCTGAGTCCCTCTTGGAGGTGAGAAGGTCAGTATATAAAACTTATAAATAAATAAATAAATAATTGCAACAGATTGAGAAGCCACGGCAGTCTTGCTAAAGTATGCCACCTGTGGAACCTCACTTTGCAAAGACTGTGTGTTGATCAGCTGTTCACTGACCTCCACACATTAAAAACACACTTACAGGCGTCTTCCAAGAAAGATAAAAACCAACCAACAAAAATCCCATGGCAATCAGCTAATGTGAAATCTGGAAGCCCCTAGTCACAGAATGGCACATGGGCGGTGGATACGGACTCAGTCGTTCTACCTCAAGGAAGTTGAGTAGCTTGGCAGATGTATCCATGACTGAGCAGCCCTTTTAAGGACCCACTCTGCTCACCCCACACGGGGAAGGGGCTAGAAAATGTGCCCTAAACATAGTCTGCCTTTCTTACCCGACTGGACTGCCGCGTCTAGTGGGGTCACCACCCCAAAAAAGAAAAGGAACTTCCAGCTGGAGGCCAGCTGTGACCAGCAGTGCTGTAGAATTCGAAGAGGCATGAATTGAGGGTGAAAGAGAGAAACGTGCCAAGAGGAAGGTGCGTCAAGCCATCCCCGACTGGGACCGCCTTCCACCTGGAAACCAATGCCCTCACTGCGGAAGAAGATGCAGATCAAGAATAGGGCTCCAAGGTCACCTATGGACCCACCGCCAGTACACCGACCTTAGAAGACAATCCTACTCGGACGAGGGATCGCCTAAGTAAGTAAGTAAGTAGTATCATGCCAAGTTTTCAAACTTTGTTTGTGTTTATAAATACATTAAACTGTACCCTAAATTTGCTTCTGGCATAAGAAATAAATATCGAGCCTCAACCGATTCAACCTAGTTTGTGGCAGCCACAAAAACGAAGTTTCTGGAGTAGAACAACTACTTTCAAAGTAAGTATTGCACAATTATGCAGGAAAGAACACTTTCAAACCAGGAACAGAAAACTGTTTCAAGTCTTGTTACATAGTGTTTTGAATATCATAACCAGCCTTTCTTCCAACAGTGAGATTTCTGCAAGTAGTAGCACATCCAAAGCACTGCAGATCCCAGGTTCAGGACGATGGGCCAGGAATGACAGGGCTTCCTCACCTTTTTGCGATGGACCTTGAGGATTTCAGCCACAGCAGCCACGGCCTCCTTGTTCACCTGGCAGCCATAGAGGCCATCTTCGAGTGTGTAGCGAATGTGGACGGTGAGCACCACGGCCGGGTGTTGCACCTGCAACGTGGTGTCCAGAAAGTGGTCGTATTCTTTCGGTTTGTGATGCAGCATCACCAAGATGGCCTTGGGCTCACCTGGAAGGAGACACATACCTGAAGCCAAGGAAGGGCTGGAGTGAAATTGGGCTTTGCACCAGCCTCCACTTTCCTTACGATTTCCACTCTGGGGACTAAATGTTTCTAAGCTTTTTTAACATATAGGCAATCCCGAAGTTGCAAACATCCAATTTATAAACAACTCATAGATAAAAGCAGGGCTTATTTATTTCTCGTGTCAGTGCAACCAGTCTATTATATTACATTTCTAACAGAACAAAGCAAACAAACAGACAAAGTACAAAATTTGTGAGTTTGGTAGTTGATTAAATGTCCTTTGAGCAGTATCTGGCCACTTGAAGTGCCTCTGGTGTTGCCGCAAGAAGGTCCTCCATTGTGCATGTGGCGGGGCTCAGGTTGCATTGCAGCAGGTGGTCAGTAGTTTGCTCCTCTCCACACTCGCATGTCGTGAATTCCACTTTGTGGCCCCATTTCTGAAGGTTGGCTCTGCATCTCGTGGTGCCAGAGCACAGTCTGTTCAGAGCCTTCCAAGTCGCCCAGTCTTCTGTGTGCACAGGGGGGAGTCTCTCATCTGGTATCAGCCATTGATTGAGGTTCTGGGTTTGAGCCTGCCACTTTTGGACTCTCGCTTGCTGAGGTGTTCCAGCGAGTGCCTCTGTAGATCTTAGAAAACTATTTCTAGATTTAAGTCGTTGACGTGATGGCTGATACCCAAACAAGGGATGAGCTGGAGATGTCTCTGCCTTGGTCCTTCCACTATTGGCTGCTACTTCCCGGCGGATGTCAGGTGGTGCAATATTGGCTAAGCAGTGTAATTTCTCCAATGGTGTAGGGCGCAGACACCCTGTGATAATGCGGCATGTCTCACTAAGAGCCACATCCACTGTTTTAGCGTGGTGAGATGTGTTCCACACTGGGCATGCGTACTCAGCAGCAGAGTAGAACAGTGCAAGGGCAGGGCAAAAGCAGGGCTGAGACAACAGAAAGTGCTAGGAATCTAGGTCTAAACTGAATCTAAATTAGTCTAGAATCGCATTGGCTTTTTAAGCTCCTGCATCACACTGTTCTTGGCCTATGTTCAGCTTCTGGTCTCCCTTCCCAACGGACTGTTTCCAAGCCAGGGGTCATCCAGCCCATATCCATGCATTTTATTTTTTTCTGCCTAAGTGTCATCCTTATATTGTTTACTAGCTCTACCCAGTACACGTTGCTGTAGCCAACCTTCCCTCCCCCTTTCTCTCCTCCTTTCTTTCTCTCCTTCCCTCCCTCCCTCTTTCCTTCCTTCCTTTTTTTTCTTTCCTTCTCTCCTTCCTTCCGTCTCTTCCCCTTCCCTTCCTTCCCCCCCACCTTTTCTTTCCCTTTCTTTCTCCCCTTTCTTCCTTATCTACCTATTCTTGAATTGAAACTCCCAGCAGTCCTCCTGATCCATCTATCTATCTATCTATCTATCTATCTATCTATCTATCTCTCTCTCTCTCTCTCTCTCTCTCTATCTAATCTATCTATCTGGAGTCGCATACGAAAGCTGACTGGCACAACCTGGGGATCACAACTGGAGAACTTACACTGCTTAGCTGGTATTGCACCACCTGACATCTGCCGGGAAGTGGCAGCCAATAGTGAAAGGACCAAGGCAGAGACATCTCCAACTCATCCTCTGTTTGGGCATCAGTCAGCACGTCAACGACTTAAATCAAGAAATCGTTTTCTAAGATCTACAGAGACACTTGCTGGAACACCTCAGCAAGCGAGAGTCCAAAAGTGGTAGGCTCAAACCCAGAACTTCAATCCATGGCTGATACCAAATGAGAGACACAGTTTTGTCGTGGCTCCAATCCTTCCTGGAGGGATGAACCCAGATGGTGAAGCTGGGAGACGCCAGCTCGGACCCCTGGCCTTTGACCTGTGGGGTCCCACAAGGCTCTATCCTGTCTCCCATGCTTTTTAACATCTACATGAAACCGCTGGGAGAGGTCATCCGGAGTTTTGGAGCTAGGTGCCACCTCTATGAAGATGACACACAACTCTACTGCTCTTTTCCACCCAATTCCAAGGAGGCCTCTCAGGTGCTGGACGAGTGCCTGGCCGCTGTGTCTATCTGGATGAGGAGGAACAAGCTGAAGATCAATCCCGACAAGACAGAGGTCCTCCTGGTCGATTGCAAACCTGACCGGGGTATAGGGTGGCAACCTGTGCTGGACGGGGTTACACTCCCCCTGAAACCACAGGTCCGCAGTTTGGGAGTCTTCTTGGATTCATCGCTTACGCTTGAGGCTCAGGTGTCGGCGGTGTCTGGGAGGGCTTTTGCACAATTGAGACTCGTGCGCCAACTGCGACCGTACCTCACAAAGGCAGATCTGGCCGGAGTGGTCCATGCCTTGGTCACCTCCAGACTGGATTACTGCAATGCGCTCTACATGGGGCTGCCCTTGAAAACGGCTCAGAAGTTCCAACTGGTCCAACGATCAGCAGCCAGGATGCTAACTGGGGCCCCTTACAGAGAGAGGTCAACCCTCCTGTTCAAGGAGCTCCACTGGCTGCCGTTTATTTTCCGAGCCCAATTTAAGGTGCAGGTGCTTACCTACAAAGCCCTAAACGGTTTGGGACCCTCCTACCTGCGTGAACGCATCTCCATCTACGAACCCACGCGTTCACTTCGGTCATCTGGGGAGGCCCTGCTCGTGATCCCCCCTGCGTCGCAAACGCGCTTGGTGGGGACACGAGACAGGGCCTTTTCCGTGGTGGCCCTCCGTCTCTGGAACACCCTCCCCAAAGATCTTAGACAGGCCCCTACATTGGCAGTCTTCAGAAAGAACTTGAAGACCTGGCTGTTCCGATATGCCTTCCCAGAATAGGAAATCTCCAACACCAAGTCCCAGAAGCACTTTACTTGAATTAAGATTGCTGCACACCGCACACTGCACTTGCCCTAAAATGCCTTATATACCACCTGTCACATCAGCACTTTTAATCCTGTACCCATTACTCTGGCCTGGCCCAGTTTTATTGTGTCTTTGGTATTGTTTATTGACTGTTGTTTATACTGCTTTAACTGTTTTAATTTGCTTTAGGTTTCGTATTGTATATTGTGTGTTGAGTCCTTGGCCTTTGTAAGCCGCATCGAGTCCCTCGGGAGATGCTAGCGGGGTACAAATAAAGTTTAATAATAATAAAAAAGACTCCCCCCTGGGCACTCAGAAGACTGGGTGACTTGGAAGGCACTAAACAGACTGCGCTCTGGCACCACGAGATGCAGAGCCAACCTTCAGAAATGGGGCCACAAAGTGGAATCCACGGCATGCGAGTGCGGAGAAGAGCACACCACTGACCACCTGCTGCAATGCAACCTGAGCCCTGCCACATGCACCATGGAGAACCTTCTTGCGGCAACACCAGAGGCACTCCAAGAGGCCAGATACTGGTCAAAGAACATTTAAACCACTACCAAGCTTGCAAACACTGTTTTGTCTGTCTGTTAAAAAATTGTTAAAAATGTAATACAATTGTATGGTTGCTATTGACACGATAGATAGATAGATAAATAAATAAACAAATCTATCTATCTGGAGGACTGCTGGGAGTGGCACTACAGGAATAGGAAATTGGAAATGTGCAGGGATTGGGATGCTCTCAAAGAAATCCAAAGAGAAGAAAGCTTGCAGCTTGGAAGCAGTGCATTTGGATCATCCTCCTCTCCTAAAGAGCCTGGTCTAGGGGATGCTGGGAGCTGTAGTTTTGTTTGCCAGGGGAGTCGTTTTGCGCACGCCCTGTAGCATCTTTTTGAATTATTTTGCCTTTCAAGTCTCTTCCGCTGTGTTTCTCAGTATTCTTATGAGTGATGGTCACTCATTGGCCTGACAGGTGTCTTGTGTCCAAATTTCATGTCAATTCGTCCAGTGGATTTTTAGTTATATTAATCCCACAAACTAAAACTACATATTTATTTATATAGACTAGCTGTCCCCTGCCGCACGTTGCTGTGGCCCAGTTTCTGTATATGTGTTTTGTGTGTGTATATATGCGTGTGTATATATTTGTGCATATATGTGTGTTTGTGTGTACATATGTGTGCTTGCATAGTCATGTATTTTTATGGCTTTTCAAGTCCCTTCCACTGTGTTTTTCAGTGTTTTTATGAGTGATGGTCTCTCGCTGTCCTGATAGTTGTATTGTGTCCAAATTTTGTGTCAATTCATTCAGTGGGTTTTAAGTTATGTCAATCCCACAAACTAACATTACATTTTTATTTATATAGATTTTCAGCAACAGCAGAATTCACTAGAGCAAAATTCTTTCCCAGCTCAAGCCTTCTTGCATTGCTTTCTGCAACCCAACACCCAAAGTCTGTCTCTCCCGATACCCAAAGGATAGCCCTCCTGGTGCCAAGGCTGCAGCTGAAAGGCACTCAGCTCGTCATGCCAAGGAGGCAACGTCTGGCTGTGAAAGGGCCTTTCCAAAGACAAGAGATGCTTGGTTAGCTGTGGCACGCCTGGACTGACCTTGGAGATGCTCCAGCGCATTCTGCATATCGGTGCCCACCCGAGAGACCACCGGGCAGAAGACCACCAGGAAGTGGCTGGAGTCCCCTCGGTACCTCTTCCTCTTGAGCTTTATCTTGGGAAGGCGGTCAGAGACCCTCTGTAAGAACTCATTGCCGCAGTCCCCGATCTGCCCGGTGACAAGCACCTGGATGGGAAAGTCTGGAGAAGGGAAGTGACTGTGAGAGATGGATCACAGAACAGCACCAAGTCTCACCTGGAAAGAGAAACAGCATCAGCCATGGAAGGGTTGCATGGAAAATGGGTGTCACCTCCAGACTTCCCTTTCCTGAAGATTTCCATTATGACAGCTAAACATTTCTAAATGATGCTATTTCACCCACCTTTCCTGGGACGTGAATACCAGTTTCTTTTCTTCCTTGGCTCCCAGTCTTCCAACCTCTGGCCTCTTCCGTCCGCCGGAGGCTTCTGCTTTGGCCACTGACGCTCCGAGTTTGGTGGGTTGCCTCTTCGCTGGCTGCTTTTTGGCAGCACCAATTGGGCCAGGAGAGATCGCTTGACCGCAGGGTCGGAAGGCTCTTTGGTCATCTGCAAAGGAGGAGAAGTCTGCAGGCTTCCAAACAACACAAGCATGGAGTAGGATTACTCTGGAGCAGGAAGTGGCATGGACAGTGTCTTTTAGGGAGAGAGTGAGGTTCCCAAGATTGAAATTGCTTTAGCTGTCATGGAACCCTGGGATTTGTAGTTTGGTGGGGGTCTCCTTTGGAAGAGATGAAACAGGGTATAAATAGAAATATTATAATAATAATAATAATAATAATAACTGAGATCCTCAAGGGAGGCCTTTAACAGAGATGGACTTTAATTCACCATATTGTCGAAGGCTTAATTCACCACTTCATACACGGTGGGTACTGACTCCAAATGAGGCCCCCAGAGCAACAGTAAAAGTATCCTAAACATAATAATAATGCTAATAATAGTACTAATAATATTAGTAACTTTTTCACAAGGCTAAAAAAGTTACAGAAAATGAACACGCCAAACTCCTCTGAGATTTCCAAATTCAGACAGACAAGAGTTTTGGAGCACAATACTCCTGACCTCACGATCGTCTTAAAAAACAAAGTATGGATTGTTGATGTTCCAATCCCAGGCAACAGCAGGATTGAAGAGAAACAACGGGAAAAGATGACATGATATGAGGATGTAAAGATCGAACTGCAAAGACTCTGGCACAAGCCAGTCAAGGGGATCCCAGTGGTGATCGGCACACTGGGTGCAGTGCCTAAAGACCTTGGCCTGCACTTAAACACAATTGGCGCTGAAAATTGTGCAAGATACTCCACTGAGGCAGAAAAAACAAAATGCAGGGATACAGAATGGGGACGATGCGGCCTGGCTCGAGAGCAGTACGTGTGAAAAAGATCTTGGAGTCCTCGTGGACAACAAGTTAAATATGAGCCAGGAATGTGATGTGGTGGCAAAAAAAGCCAATGGGATTTTGTCCTGCATCAAGAGCATAGTTTCTAGATCTAGGGAAGTAATGCTAATCTTTTATTCCGCTTTGGTTAGACCACACCTGGAATATTATGTCCAATTCTGGGCACCACAATTCAAGAGAGATATTGACAATGGCTGGAATGTGTCCGGAGGAGGGCAACTCAAATGATCAAGGGTCTGGAGAACAAGACCTATGAGGAGCGGCTTAAGGAGCTGGGCATGTTTAGCCTGAGAGGAGATACAATGAAGGCTGAGAGGAGATACAATGAGGGCCATGTATAAATATGTGAGAGGAAGCCACAGGGAGGAGGGAGCAAGCTTGTTTTCTGCTTCCATGGAGATTAGGACAAGGAACAATGGCTTCAAACTACAAGAGAGGAGATTCCATCTGAACACGAGGAAGAACTTCCTGACTGTGAGAGCCGTTCAGCAGTGGAACTCTCTGCCCCGGAGTGTGGTGGAGGCTCCTTCTTTGGAAGCTTTTAAACAGAGGCTGGATGGCCATCTGTCAGGGGTGCTTTGAATGCAATATTCCTGCTTCTTGGCAGAATGGGGTTGGACTGGATGGCCCCGAGGTCTCTTCCAACTCTTTGATTCTATGATTCTATGACAAGATTACTATCTGCCAGCCGCAGAAGGCCACCGTACTGGGATCTGCACGCCTGATTCGCTGATACATCACACAGTCCTAGACACTTGGGAAGTGTCCAACATGTGATCCAATACAACAGCCAGCAGAGTGATCTTGTTTGCTGTGGACTCATCTTGTTGTGTTTCAAATATTATCATTATTATTATTATTATTATTATTAATAATAATAATAATAATAATAATGTATTGTCGAAGGCTTTCATGGCTGGAATCACTAGGTTCTTGTGGGTTTTTTTCGGGCTATATGGCCATGTTCTCCTGACGTTTCGCCTGCATCTATGGCAAGCATCCTCAGAGGTAGTGAGGTCTGTTGGAATTAGGAAAATGGGTTTATATATCTGTGGAATGGCTGGGGTGGGACAAAGAGCTGTTCTCTGCTGGAGCTGGGTGTGAATGTTTCAACTGACCACCTTCATTAGCATTTGAAGGCCTGGCTGAGCCTGGGGATTGTTGAGAGGTGTTAAGAGGTGTTAAACTCTAAAATTACAACATCAAAACAGCAGAGAGGAAACAACTAGGCACATCTTAACACCTCTCAACAAAAGATTCCCCCAGGCTCAGCCAGGCCCTCAAATGCTAATGAAGGTGGTCAGTTGAAACATTCACACCCAGCTCCAGCAGAGAACAGCTCTTTGCCCCACCCCAGCCATTCCACAGATATATAAACCCATTTTCCTAATTGAACCACTTAGTCAAAGGCACAATGGAACAACCAAGTTTTTAATTCCTTGCGGAAAATGGAGAGTGGGGGCCTGTCTGATTTCCCTAGAAAGAGATTTCCAGAGCTGAGGAGCCACCACAGAAAAGGCTCTCCCTTGTCCCCACCAACCACACTTGAGACAGTGGTGGGAGCGAGAGGAGAGCCTCTCCAGAGTATCTTAAGAGTACGTGCTGGTTCTTAGGGGAAGATGTGATCGCGAAGACAGGCAAGTCCCGAACTGCTTAGGGCTTTGTAGGTGATCACCTGCAGTTTGTATTGGACCGGAAACTTATTGGCAGCCATGGAGCTGTTTGAACAGCTGTTTGGACTTAGGACAGTGTTTCTCAACCTTCCGAATGCCACGGCCCCTTAATCCAGTCCATTATGTGGTGGTGACCCCCAACCATACAATTATTTTCATTGCTTCTTCATAACTAATTTTGCTACTGTTAACAAATCATTATGTAAATATCTGATCTGCAGGATGTATTTTCATTCACTGGACCATATTTGGCACAAATCCCTGATGCGCCCAAATTTGAGTACTGGTGAAATTATACTGTTTAGGCGGTACTGCAGCACCTGACATCCGCCGGGAAGTAGCAACCAATAACAAAAGGACCAAGGCAGACATCTCTGGCCCATCCCATGTTTGGATATCAGCCAGCACACCAATGCCTTAAATCAAGAAATAATTTTCTAAGATCTACAGAGAAACTGGCAGGGACACCTCAGCAAGCAAGAGTCCAAAAGTGGCAGGCTCAAACCCAGAACCTCAACTTATGGCTGATACCTAATGAGAGGCTCCCTCTTGGGCACACAGAAGACAGGGCAACTTGGAAGGCGCTGAACAGACTGCGCTCTGGCAACACAAGATGCAGAGCTAATCTTAAGAAAATGGGGCCACAAAGTAGAGGCCACGACATACAAGTGTGGAGAAGAGCAAACCACGGACCATCTCCTACAATGCAGCCTGAGCCTTGCCACATGCACAATGGAGGACCTTCTCATAGCAACACCAGAGGCACTTCAAGTGACCAGCTTCTTCTCAAAGGACATCCAGTATGATGCCAAGTTTTTAAACTTTGTTTGAGTTTTTAAATACATTACATACATCAATTTGCTTCTGGCACAATAAACAAATATCGAGTCTCAACCAATTCAACCTAGTTTGTGGCAGGCACAAAAACAAAATTCCTGGAGTAGAACAACTACTTTCAAAGTAAGTATTGCACATTTATGCAGGAAAGAACACTTTCAAACCAGGAACAGAAAACTGTTTCAAGTCTTGTTACATACTCTTTTGAATAGCATAACCAGCCTTTCTTCCAACAATGAGATTTCTGCAAGTAGTAGCACATCCAAAGCACTGCAGATCCCAGGTTCAGGACAATGGGCCAGGGATGGCAGGGCCTCCTCACCTTTTTGCGATGGACCTTGAGGATTTCAGCCACAGCAGCCACGGCCTCCTTGTTCACCTGGCAGCCGTAGAGTCCATCTTCAAGTGTGTAGCGAGCGTGGACGGTGCGCACCACGGCCGGATGTTGCGCCTGCAGCGTGGTGTCCAGAAAGCGGTCGTATTCTTTCGGTTTGTGATGCAGCATCACCAAGACAGACTTCGACTCACCTGGAAGGAGACACATACCTGAAGCCAAGGAAGGACTGGAGGGAAACAGGTCTCGGCACCAGCCTCCACTTTCCTTACGATTTCCACTCTGGGGACTAAATGTTTCTAAGCTTTTTTAACATATAGGCAATCCCAAAGTTGCAAACATCTGACTTATAAACAACTCCTAGATAAAAACAGGGCTGAGACAACAGAAAGTGAAAGGAATCTCCCCCTCCTTGAAAGGAAGGGAAATCCACTCCTGGAAGAGTAGTAGTACACGCTTTGGTTACATCCCGCTTAGATTACTGCAACACTCTCTACGTGGGGTTGCCTCTGAAGACTGCCCGGAAGCTGCAGCAAGTACAACGTGCGACAGCCAGACTACTAACGGGTGGTAGGTACAGGGAGCACACCACTCCACTGTTACTCGAACTCCACTGGCTGCCGATTAGCTTCCGAGCACAATTCAAAGTGCTGGTGTTAACCTATAAAGCCCTAAACGACTCTGGCCCTGTTTACCTCTCCGAACGTATTCTCCCCTACGAACCATCAAGACCACTAAGATCGTCTGGAGGGGCCGTGCTCTCGGTCCCACCGCCTGCACAAGCACGGCTGGTGGGGACGAGGGACAGGGCCTTCTCGGTGGTGGCCCCTCGACTTTGGAACTCCCTGCCATTAGAGATCAGAACTGCCCCCTCCCTCATGACGTTCAGGAAACTAACAAAGACCTGGTTGTGGAACGCGGCATTTGACAACTGATTTAATTCTTTGCCCACATGAAAGGAGGAGGATGAATGGGATTGTGATGGTGTCGGACGATTTGGCTCTTTTAACTGGGATGATAATGTTTTAATGTGTATGGTGCTGATATTTTAATCGTGTAATGAAGTGGCATTGTGTTGTTATTGTATATTCTTTGTATGTTAACACATGTTGTGAACCGGTCCGAATCCCTCTTTGAAGGTGAGAGGGTCGGTATATAAAACCTCGAAATAAATAAATAAATAAATAAAGAGTCATGGGAGGAAAGGGGTCTCCACTGAAGCTTTTTCTCTATAACAAGCTCTTTTTTCAAAACCCAATGATCAGAGACAGAAAGTGGAGTAATAATAATAATAATAAAACTTTATTTGTACCCCGCTACCATCTCCCCAAGGGACTCGGTGCGGTTTACATGAGGCAGAGCCTACAATACATCAATAATAAAAGCAATAACAACAAGTAATACAAACAATAAAAATAAAACTTATAACAGAAATTAAGCAATAAACATTAACAGTAACACAACGACATTTAAAACCTATGGGTGGGCCAAATATAATAATTAAAATTTAAAAAATAATGCTGAGCATGAACAGGTGAGATATGACTAGGATAGAGTTTTCAGAGAGGCATGTAATAAGAAATTCAATGTGCAGTTTTGATAAATGTGAATTTAATATGATGTGTGGGAATGAATGGAAAGATGTATGGACGGAAGTAATAATTTTGGAGACACCAATAAAATATTAAGGCCTGCAATGACTAACTACCTGCTTGCTAGACTGTAATTAAAAGTTGCTAATAAGAACTAAAAAGTAAACTGTGATAAGAACTGGACAGTGATAAGATAAATGTTTACAATGTTAAGAAGGAAGTCAACATAAGATCAACACCAATCAAGAAGAATCAACATCTGGCCAGGAAACTGAGATGGAGCCAGGATGGAAGGCATCTTAGGGACAACATCAGCAGAATATTCCTATAAAAGACTCAGTCTAATAATGCTCAAAGTGTGGCAGACCTGAGGAGTCTGGTTCACCCGCCATGCTCTGCTCCAGGGGAAGGAGAGAGGTGGTGTATTCGGAGAGTGGCAGATCTGCACTGGAGCACCCTGGTCACTTTGGGGCTTCTTTCTCAAGGGAAGAGGAAGAAATGCGCTTTTGGAGTCTTGGATTTTGTGCAGGGTGTCAGATTCTGCTGTATGGAAAAGAGAGATCTGGTCCTTGGCATTTTGGAGTTTTGAAGTTATGAAAGTTTGGGGACTATATGTTGGAAAGGCTGCAGGAAAGCAGGGTCTGGCCTAAGAGGTGCTTCTCCGAGGAGGGAGAAAAGGATATAATAATATTTGAATGCCTGAGGATGAATGCGGGTATATATGGTATGAATTCTGAGTGTAAATGTAATTCCCCTTTGTCTGTTTGTTAGCCATGCAATTGTGAATCCAATGTAGTTGCATAATATCTGTATGTCTGTCATGCCAAGGAGGCAACGTCTGGGTGTGAAAGTGCTTTGCAAAGACAAGAGATGCTTGGTTAGCCGTGGCACGCCTGGACTGACCTTGGAGATGTTCCAGCGCATTCTGCATGTCGGTGCCCACCCGAGAGACCACCGGGCAGAAGACCAGCAGGAAGTGGCCGGAGTCCTCTCGGTACCTCTCTGGTTTGAGATTTTTCTCGGGAAGGCGGTCAGAGACCTTCTTTAAGAACAGATCCTCGCAGCCACCGGTCTGCCCAGTGACCAGGACCTGGACGGTGAAACCTGCAGGAGAGGAGAGGAGAAGGAGAGAGGGTGAGGGTGGCACTCTTTGGAGACCTTGGGCATGGAAAGGAAAGCTTTGCAGGCTGAATTTTGCAGGGCAAGCAAAGAATCAAGCCAGGATGTTTGGACAGCCCATGCCATTGCCTTTCAACACCTGATGGTGAAAACTAGATAGTAAACAAAGCGGAGAGGAAGAAAATGAGCTCACTGGGAATGCAGTGATGGAAGAGAGCGATGTTGGGGATGCTAGGAAAACCCATACACATGTCCTGGAGCTACATAGATCCTGGCCTCTCCCAAGAAGCCAACATGACCAAACTGACGACGAGGCAGGGGAACTCTCTGCCTCATGAGACCAGTAGAGGCTCCACTTTAGAGCTTTTCAAACAGAGGCTGGATGGCCATCTGTTGAGGAATCTGGAAGCAATCCAATCCTTTGAAAGTCAAGGCCCTGCCTTTTTAAGGAGTACGAATATTATTCATGGTTGCAAAGAAATAGCAATTTCAAGTTGGGTCCAATTTTTAGAAAAGCCCTGTATTTAAAAGATTATAGAATCGCAGACTCATTGAATTGGAAGAAACCTTGTGGGCCACCCAGTCCAACCCCATTCGGCCAAGAAGCAGGAAAATATTGTATTTTTGTTGTTGTTATTATTTTGCTTGTTTGCTTGTTTTTGTTGGTTACTTGAGTTCCGGTAAACTGAGAGATATTGACAAGCTAGAATGTGCCCAGAGGAGGGTGACTCAAAGGATCAAGGGTCTGGAGAACAAGCCCTATGAGGAGCGGCTTAAAGAGTTGGGCATGTTTACTCTGCAGAAGAGAAGACTGAGAGGAGACATGATGAGGGCCATGTATAAAAATGTGAGGGGAAGTCATAAGGAGGAGGGAGCAAGCAAACTATAGGGAGCCTACAACACCCCTATTAGAAGAGCTTCATTGGCAGTCGATAAATTACCGAGCCAAATACAAGGTGCAGGTTATGACCTATAAAGCCCTAAATCAGTGGTTCTCAACCTTCCTTAGTACAGTTCCTCATGTTATGCTGACCCCCAACCATAACATTATTTTCATTGCTACTTCATAACTGTAATATTGCTACTGTTATGAATTGTTATGTAAATATCTGATATGCAGGGTGTATTTTCAAATCCCAAATAACCAATATGCCCAAATTTGAACACTGATGGGATTGGGGAAGGGGACTGATTTTGTCATTTGGGAGCTTTAATTGCTGGGATTTATAGTTCACCTACAATCAAAGAGCATTCTGAACACCACGAATGATGAAATTGAACCAAACTTGGCACACAGAACTCCCATGACCAAGAGAAAATACTGGATCTGGTGGACACTGACCTTGAATTTTTGGAGTTGTAGTTCACCTATATCCAGAGAGTACTGTGGACTCAAACAATGATGGATCTGGACCAAACATGGCACAAATACTCAATATGCCGAAATGTGAACACTGGAGGAGTTTGACGAAAATAGACCTTAACATTTGGGAGTTGTAGTTGCTGGGATTTATAGTTCACCTACAATGATATAACTTTCTGAACCTCACCAATGATAGAATTGGACCAAACTTCCCACACAGAACCCTTATGACCACAGAAAATACTATGTTTCCTGATGGTCTTTGGCGACCCCTCTGACACCCCCTTGCGACCCCCACAGGGGTCCCGACCCCCAGGTTGAGAAACATTGCCCTAAATGGATCGGGCCCTGCCTGTCTTCGCGATCGCATCTCTTTCTATGGACCGGCACAAACTCTAAGATCTTCTGGGGAAGCTCTCCTTTTGAAGACCTTCTTTCCTCTTGGAAATCACAAGTATGGTTGGTGAGGACAAGAGAGAGGGCATTCTCGGTGGTGGCCCCCCAGCTCTGGAACGCTCTTCCTAGGGAAATAAGACAGGCCCCATCCCTACCCTCCTTTCGTAAGAGCTTGAAGACCTGGTGGTTTCAACAAGCCTTTGAGAATGGCCAGTTCTAGCCCAGCCCCAAACATTGTTGAATATGGCCTTATATGTTGTTGTTCATTCATTCAGTCGTTTGAGTCTCTTCGTGACCTCATGGACCAGCCCACACCGCTCACTGTCATTATGTTTGGTTTACTGCTTTATCTTTAATGTTTTGTATATATTAGGTTCTTGTAGGTTTTTTCGGGCTATAGGGCCATGTTCTAGAGGCATTCTCTCCTGACGTTTCGCCTGCATCTATGGCAAGCATCTTCAGAGGTAGTGAGGTCTGTTGGAAATAGGAAAATGGATTTATATATCTGTGGAATGACTGGGGTGGGGCAGAGAGCTCTCTGCTGAAGCTAAGTGTGAATGTTTCAGCTGACCACCTTCATTAGCATTTGAAGGCTTGGCTGAGCCTGGGAAAATGTTCTGTTGAGAGGTGTTAAGATGTGCCTGGTTGTTTCCTCTCTGCTGTTTTGCTGTAGTAATTTTAGTAATTTTGTATATATTGTTTATTGCATTTATATGTTTTGTACTTTACTGCAATGGTGTTTATTTTATTGTAATTTGTATTTTATTTTATTGTAATTAGTTGTTTGGGCTTGGCCGCACATAAGCCGCCTCGAGTCCCTGTTCGAGGAGATGGTGGCAGGGTACAAATAAAGATTATTATTATTGTTATTGTTATTATTGAGGATTTGGAGCAGAGGCTGGATGGCCATCTGTTAGGGGTGCTTTGATCGTGATTGTCCTGCTTCTTGGCAGAATGGGGTTGAACTATATGGCCCACGAGGTCTCTTCCAACTCTAGGATTCTATGACTCTATGAGAGCCTACTGCATTGTGCAGATTGTCGCGGCACGAGTGTGCAGCACAGGATTGTAACACCACGCGACTAAACCACCCCAGAACCACTGTGCTGGTACGGCTGTACCAGGAGCACCAACTTCTTTTTCTTTTTTTGAGTGTTTGCATGTATTCCAAGGTTCCATGCATTTTGCAATAAGGTGGCTTCCCTTGGTTTGCAATTATAGGGCCAATGACCCATCAATCATCATAGGTTCTTTAGTTCCGCCCCTTTTTCTGGGTTAAGGAGGGAAAAAGGGGACTTCTAGTTCAGTTCACACAGAGAAGCTTTTCGTACAGGACGTGAGTCAGTTCCACCTGTAGAAAGCTTCGTCTTTTGCAGCTTTTGCTGGGGGAATTCAGTCCCACAGCTTTACAGCCAGCCTTTGCTGGGAATTGAAGACCTTCTTTCCTCTTGGAAATCTACAAAAGGACTCTGTTTGGTAAGGACCACTTGCGGCAGCCATAACGCAATTTAGACCGGGTGTAGGGGCCCACGCCAGCAGAGCTTAAGACAGATTGCCCAGGTAGAGGTCAAGGATTTCCCTGATAGTGAAGAAACAGTTCATGAAGATAGTTGCCTGTCCCTTGTGGACAAGATTAAGAAAGCCACCAGTTGATTCAAAGCCTTGAAGTATTTGTTCGATTTATTGAAGACCTAGGCAATAATAAAGAACTTTGTTATACTTTCCAAGTTTCTAAAGACTTTGTTTAGGGAAATCCAAAGGGCCTCTAATCCCAGGCACCCCTGGCATCCTGTTGGGCATACAGAACACATCCTGTCTACAGACCTTTTCACAGGCCCAGCGCGTGACAGCACAACCACACTTCAAATCTGTGCAGAGAAACATTTGCCACCTCATTCCTTTTCCACTCACCTTTTTTAGACTTCCCTTGCTTCTGTTGCTTTGGCTGCTGCTCCGCCCCGGCCTTTCCTGCCTCTGCCTCCTGGGACACCGATCCTGGCAGGCGGTCTTTCAGCAGCTCATCAATGGCTTGGGCTTGCTCTTCGCTTCCAAGGTCTGGGGTCTTGTTCTCCATCTGCAAAGGAGTAAACGTTTGCAGGGTTCCAAGCCACACAGGTGTGGAATGGGATGACTCTAGAGCAGAGTCTCTCCGCCTTCCTAATACCGCGACGCTTTAATCCAGTTCCTCCTGTTGTGGTGACCCCCAACCATAACCTTATTTTGTTGCTACTTCATAACTGTCATTTTGCTCCTGTTAGGAATCAGGTTGCGGCGCAGCCGGTTGGGAGTCAGCTGCATTAAAATAACTACTGACCAAAAAGTCATGAGTCCAAAGCCAGCCCAGGTCGGAGCAAGCTCCCGACCATTTGTCTAGCTTGCTGTCGACCTTTGCAGCCCGAAAGACAGTTGCATCTGTCAAGTAGGAAATGTAGGTACCGCTTTATGCAGGGAGGCTAATTTAACTAATTTACGACGCCATGAAACTCTCCAGCAGAGTACAAAAGAATAAGGAAGTGCTCCATTGGTGTCACAAGTGGATGGTGAAGTGACAGCTCCCCCATTGGCTGAAATTTGAGCATAACTTCATGAAGATGGAAAGTTAAATGTAGAGTGGGTCATGGGGGTTCTGTATGCCAAGTTTATATAAAAATAAAATAAAACCCTTCGCAGTCGGGTGGGGACAAGAGACAGGGCCCTTTCTGTGGTGGCTCCCCAGCTATGGTACTCTATCCAGACTGAAATTAGATCTGCCCCCTCCCTCCTCACCTTTAGGAAGCAAGAGAAGTCTTGGTTATGGAACAAGGAATTTGCAGAGTGATGGCTGAAACCGGTAATGGACTAAGGTATTGACCACAATGTGCGGACTGAGCTGGACGTTGTTTTTATCCTGACAAATGTTTTAGTATGTTTTCTATCTGATATGTATTTTAAACTTACTGTTTCTATATGATGTTTTAAAGGTTGTTTGTGAGCATTGAATCTTTGCTGTTAGCTGGTCTGAGTCCCTCTACGGCAGTGGTTCTTAACCTTCCTATTGCCACGACCCCTTAATAGAGTTCCTCATGTTGTGGTGACCCACAACCAGAAAATCATTATCATTGCTACTTCATAACTGTCATTTTGCTACTGATATCAATTGTAATGTAAATATCTTATGTATTTTCATTTACTGGACCAAATTGGGCACAAATACTCAATACACCCAAGTTTGAATACTGGTGAGGTTGGGGGGAGGGTTGATTTTGTCATTTGGGAGTTGTAGTTGCTGGGATTTATAGTTCACCTACAATCAAAGAGCCTTCTGAACTCCACCAATGATGGAATTGAACCAAACTTGGCACACAGAACTCTCATGACCAACAGAAAACTCTTTGGTGGGACCTTGAGTTTGGAAGTTGTAGTTCACCTACATCCAGATAGAGGACTGTGGACTTAAACAATGATGGATCTGAACCAAACTTGGCATGGATACTCAATATGCCCAAATGTGAACAGTGGTGGGGTTTGGGAAAGATAGACATTGACACTTGTGAGTTGTAGTTACTGGGATGTATAGTTCACCTACAATCAAAGAGCATTCCGAACCCCACCAGTGGCAGAACTGGGCCAAACTTCCCACACAGAACCCCCATGACCAACAGAAAATACTGTGTTTTCTGATGGTCTTTGACACCCCCTTGTGACCCCTCCAGGGGTCCCAACCCCCAGGTTGAGAAACATTGCTCTACGGAGGTTGAGAAGATCGGGATACAAAAGTTGTAAATAAATAAATAATAATAATAAACATTGTAATCCGCTCTGAGTCCCCAACAGGGTGAGAAGGACTGAACATAAATATTGTAAACAAACAAACAAATATCCGATATGCAGGATGGATTTTTCATTCGCTGGATCAAATCTGGCAGAAATACCTGATACACCCAAATTTGTACCTGATACACCCAAATACTGGTGGGCTTGGGGAAGTAGCAACAGAAATGTCTTAAGCCCTATGAGGAGCGGCTTAAGGAGCTGGGCATGTTTAGCCTGAAGAAGAGAAGGCTGAGATATGATAGCCATACACCCAAATTTGAATACTGGTGGGGTTGGGGAAGTAGCAACGGAAATAATGTCTTAAGCACTATGAGGAGGGGCTTAAGGGGCTGGGAATGTTTGGCCTGAAGAAGAGAAGACTGAGAGGAGATATAATGAGAGCCATGTTTAAATATGTGAGAGGAAGCCACAGGGAGGAGGAGGGAGCAAGCTTGTTTTCTGCTTCCTTGGAGACTAGGACGCAAAGGGACAATGGCTTCAAACTACAAGAGAGGAGATTCCACCTGAACATGAGGAAGAACTTCCTGACTATGAGAGCTGTTCAGCAGTGGAACTCTCTGCCCCGGAGTGTAGTGGAGGCTTTTTCTTTGTAAGCTTTTAAACAGAGGCTGGATGGCCATCTGTCAGGGGTGATTTGAATGCAATAATCCTGCTTCTTGGCAGAATGGGGTTGGACTGGAGGATGGCCCAGGAGGTCTCTTCCAACTCTAGGATTCTAGGATTTTATGAGGAGCAGCTTAAGGAGCTGGGCATGTTTAGCGTGAAGAAGAGAAGGCTGAGAAGAGATATGATGAGAGCCATGTATAAATATGTGAGAGGAGGTCACAAGGAGGAGGGAGTGAACTTGTTTTCTGCTGCCCTGGAGACTAGGACGCAATGGAGCCATGGCTTCAAACTACAAGAGAGGAGATTCCATCTGATCATGAGGAAGAACTTCCTGACTGTGAGAGCCGTTCAGCAGTGGAACTCTCTGCCTCGGAGTGTGGTGGAGGCTCTTTCTTTGGAAGCTTTTAAACAGAGGCTGGATGGCCATCTGTCAGGGGTGATTTGAATGCAATAATCCTGCTTCTTGGCAGAATGGGGTTGGACTGGATGACCCAGGAGGTCTCTTCCAACTCTAGGATTCTAGGACTTTATGAGGAGCAGATTAAGGAGCTGGGCATGTTTAGCCTGAAGAAGAGAAGGCTGATGGGAGGAGATATGATAACCATGTATAAATATGTGAGAGAAGGTCACAAGGAGGAGGGAGTGAATTTGTTTTCTGCTTCCCTGGAGACTAGGACGCAATGTAGCCATGGCTTCAAACTACAAGAAAGGAGATTCCACCTGAACAGAGGAAGAACTTCCTGACCCTGAGAGCCGTTCAGCAGTGGAACTCTCTGCCCCAGAGTGTGGTGGAGGCTTCTTCTTTGGAAGCTTTTAAGCAGAGGCTGGATGGCCATCTGTTGGGGGTAGAGAGTGTCATGCACTGGAAAGACAGTCTCTTGACTTCCAGGAATCCGAAAGCAAAAGCTGGCAGGCTGCCTCTTGGCCCTTTTCTGGCCTCTGGCAGCAAAAACAAGGAGGCGCCGCTCAAGGGGGGAGGGGATTTCCATCCCTGGGATGCCTAGTTTCCAGCAGATATGGAAGTGAGGCACAAAACGGGAGTGCTATTTCGGGGGTCCCCCTCTTTCCTTTTCCTTCCCGACTTCCAGGAAAGCAGGGCTTTTGTTTCGCCCTGCTCTCTGCACATGCTCAGGGGCTCCTTGCTCTTCTCTCCCTCCCTCCCTGCTGGGACAGGGCGCCAAGGGGGGCTCCTGAGCATGCACAGAGAGCCTCTCTTCCTTACCCCGACATCAGGCGCACTCTCGGGAGAGCTGGCTCCAGCGCGAGGAGAAGGCATCTCCCTCCCCGGGGAAGAAGGCTGACCTCGGGAAGGAAGGAAGGAAGGAAGGAAGGAAGGAAGGAAGGAAGGAAGGGAAGGAAGAAGGAAGGAAGGAAGGAAGGAAGGAAGGAAGGAAGGAAGGAAGGAAGGAAGGAAGGAAGGAAGGAAGCCCTTCCCAATTAGGAAAGGAGGACGAAGGAGAGGTGGCTGGACGCAGGGAGGGAAAAGCGAAAGCGAAAGCCAAGGAGACAAGAGGAGGAGGAGGAGGAAGAGAGGGGGGATCGTGCCCCGCCCCTCTTGCAGGAAAAGCACCATCAAAGCACCCCCCAGCAGGTGGCCATCTGGTCTCTGTTGAAAAGCCTCCAAGGAAGGACCTTCCACCACACTTTGAGGCAGAGAGGAGTTCCACTGTTGTTGGACAGCTCTCTCTCTCCCAGTCATGAAGTTCTTATAGAATCCTAGAGTTGGAAGAGACCTCCTGGGCCATCCAGTCCAACCCCATTAGGCCAAGAAGCAGGAAAATCGCATTCAAAGCACCCCCGACAGATGGCCATCCAGCCTCTGCTTAAAAGCCTCCAAGGAAGGACCTTCCACCACACTTTGAGGCAGAGAGGAGTTCCACTGTCGGACGACAGTCAGGAAGTTCTTCTTCATGTAACATTCAGCAAAGGATACGCAGGATCCTGTGAAAGGTGAGACAAAAGGCTGAGAGGAGACATGATAGCCATGTATCAATATGTGAGAGGAAGCCACAGGGAGGAGGGAGCAAGCTTCCTTTCTGCTTCCTTGGAGACTAGGACGCGGAACAATGGCTTCAAACTACAAGAAAGGAGGTTCCATCTGAACATGAGGAAGAACTTCCTGTGAGAGCCGTTCAGCAGTGGAACTCTCTGCCCCAGAGGGAGTGTGGTGGAGGCTCCTTCTTTGGAAGCTTTGAAACAGAGGCTGAATGGCCATCTGTCAGGAGTGATTTGAATGCAAGATTCCTGCTTCTTGGCAGAATGGGGTTGGACTGGATGGCCCATGAGGTCTCTTCCAACTCTTTGATTCTATTGTTCTATGGTTAAAAGGGATCCAATGATTAAGTATCTGGAGAACAAGCCCTATGAGGAGCAGCTTAAAGAGTGGGCATGCTGAGCCTGCAAAAGAAATGCTGAGAGGAGACATGATGAGGGCCAGGGATCAATATGTGAGGGGAAGTCTTAAGGAGGAGGGAGTAGGCTTCCTTTTGGCTGCCCTGGAGATTAGGACACAATGGAGCAATAGCGTCAAACTATTACTATTAGTATTTCTGCCAATTTTGGTTAAAAACCATCATCAGTTGGATGCATAACTCGCTGTACATATGGGTGAACTAAAACTTCCAACCCCTTGAAACCCCACCAATATTCAGTTTGGCACGCTGGGTATGTGCGCCAAATCTGGTCCAGATCTACTGTCCATTTGGTTCACATTGCTACCTGAATGTGGGTTAACTCCAACTCTTTAAATTCGTGGCCAATTCCCTCCAAACCCCACCAGAATTGCATGTTGGCCATGTTGGGTCTGTGTGCCAAGTTTGGTCCAGATCCATTGTAATTCCAGTGATGTTTGTGGGTAAAGTACAATTTCCAAATTTGTGAGTCAACCCCCCCCCCCCAACCTTACCTGCATTCGGTTGACCACACTGGATATGTGTCCTAATTTTGGTCCTGATCCGTTGCCAGCTGAGTTTACAGTACTCTCTGGATGCAGGTGAACTACAATTCCCAGAATCCAAGGTCAATTCCCCCCAATCCCCACTGGTATTCAAACTTGGCCATGTTGGTTATGTGTGCCAAGTTTGGTCCAGATCCATTGCCAACTGTGTTCACTGTGGTCTTTGATTATTGACGAACTACAATTTCCAAATTCATGGGTCACACACACACACCCCACCCAAGTATTCAAAGTTGGCTCTATTGGATCTGTGTGCCAAGTCTGATCCAGATCTGTCATCAGCTGAGTTCAGCGCTCTCTGGATGTGAATGAACTACAACTCCCAGAATCCAAGGAGAGTTACCCCCAAACCCCACCTGTAGTCAAATTTGGCCATGTTGGGCCTGTGTGCCAAGTTTGGTACAGATCCTTTGTCATTTGTGTTCAGAGTGCTCTCTGGGTGCGAGTGAACTACAACTCCCCAAAATCAAGGGCAACCCCACCCCCCAAAAAACCCTTCCAGTATTTTCTGTTGGTTATGGGGGTTCTATGTGTCAAACGTGGTTCTGATCTGTCATTGGTGAGGGTCGCAGTGGTTCCTGAAAGTGGGAGCCAATAAGAAATCGGCCACAAACATACACATACGGTCACTTTTATTAGATACAGATATAGATATAGTTTTCAAGACATGAGTGGTAACATATGTGGATGCCAGAGACCCATGGCCGTTCTTCTATGCCCATCAGACCCCAAGATCATGGGGCTCCCCTCACCCTGTGCAGTGGTATTTGAGGACTTCAGCCACAGTGTTCACAGCCTCCTCGTTCACCTGGCAGGCAAAGAGGCCATCTTCGAGCGTGTAGCAAGCATGGACAGTGCGCACCACGGCTGGGTGATGTGCCTGCAGGTAGGGGTCCACAAAGCGGTTGCTCTCCTTTGGTATATGGTGCAGCATCACCAAGATGACCTTCGTCTCACCTGGAAGGAGATGAACAACGCAGGTCCTCAAGGGGTTGGTGGGGAAACCTTTCCTATGACTTTCAATTCAGAGACTTATTATTATTATTATTATTTATTTACAGTATTTATATTCCGCTCTTCTCACTCCACAGGGACTCAGGACGGATCACAATACACATATACATGGCAAACATACAATGGCATAGACACACAACATATAAAGGCAGAGACACAGAGGCTATTTAACTTTCCAGTTTCATGAGGGTATGTTTGAATTCCGGCTGAAAGGATTTGGTGGGCATTGACCTTGAGTTTTGGAGTTGTAGTTCACCTACACCCAGAGAGCACTGTGGACTCAAACAAGGATGAATTCTGGCCACTGAGGGAGCTGTCACTTCACCGTCCACTTCAGTATTTTCTGTTGGTTCAATTCCATGGTTGATGGAGCTCAGAATGCTCTTTGATTGTAAGTGAACTATAAATCCTGACAACTACAACTCCCAAATATCAAGGTCTATTTTCCTCAAACTCCTCCAGTGTTCACATTTGGGCATATTGAGTATCCGTGCCAAGTTTGTTCAAGATCAATCATTGTTTGAGTCCACAGTGCTCTCTAAATGTAGGTGAACTACAACTCCCAAACTCAAGGCCAATACCCACCAAACCCTTCCAGTATTTTCTGTTGGTCATGGGAGTTCTGTGTGCCATGTTTGGTTCAATTCCATCATTGGTGGCATTCAAAATGCTCTTTGATGATAGGTAAATTATAAATCCCAGCAACTACAACTCCCAAATGACAAAATCAATGCCCCTCCCCAACCCCACCAGTATCCAAATTTGAGCATATCGGAAATTTGTGCCAAATTTGATCCCGTGAATGAAAACACATCCTGCATATTGGATATTTACATGACAGCCTATTACAGGGAAAACCAGCTGATCCCCAACCCATCTAAAACATAAACACTTTCATCTCAAGATGAAGGATGACCTGGGAAGGAATCCCACTGGAGCATTGCAGCGCACCCAAATACCTGGGAGTCACTCTGGACCGTGCTCTGACCTACAAGAAGCACTGCCTGAACATCAAGCAAAAAGTGGGTGCTAGAAACAATATCGTATGAAAGCTGACTGGCACAACCTGGTGATCACAACCAGACACAGTGAAGACATCTGCCCTTGCGCTGTGCTACTCTGCTGCTGAGTATGCATACCCAGTGTAGAACACATCTCACCATGCTAAAACAGTGGATGTGGCTCTTAATGAGACATGTTGCATTATCACGGGGTGCCTGCGCCCTACACCACTGGGGAAATTACACTGTTCAGCCGGTATTGCACCACCTGACATCCGCCGGGAAGTAGCAGCCAATAGTGAAAGGACCAAGGCAGTGACATCTCCAGCCCATCCCCTGCACGTCAACAACTTAAATCAAGAAATAGTTTTCTAAGATCTACAGCAGTGGTTCTCAACCTAGGGTCCCCAGGTGTTTTTGGCCTTCAACTCCCAGAAATCCTAACAGCTGGTGAACTGGCTGGGATTTCTGGGAGTTGTAGGCCAACAACATCTGGGGACCCTAGGTTGAGAACCACTGAGACACTCGCTGGAACACCTCAGCAAGCAAGAGTCCAAATGTGGCAGGATCAAACCCAGAGCCTCAATCCATGGCTGATACCAAATGAGAGACTCCCTCCTGGGCACACAGAAGACTTGGCGACTTGGAAGGCACTGAACAGACTGCGCTCTGGCACCACGAGATGCAGAGCCAACCTTAGGAAATGTGGCTACAAAGTGGAGTCCATGACATGCGAGTGCGGAGAAGAGCAAACCACTGACCGCCTGCTACAATGCAACCTGAGCCCTGCTACATGCACAATGGAGGACCTTCTTGCAGCAACACCAGAGGCACTCAAGTGGCCAGATACTGGTCAAAGGACATCTAATTGAAGGACACTCAGAGCGGCTAACACAGGCAGCAATTCGATGCCTCAATATCAATAAACATCAGTATAAAACCATAAATATATAAAAGGTTATAAACAGTAAGAATTAATTTTATGATCACATAACCACATATCAAGATGGATGGATGGCATCCTTGAAGTGACTGGACTGACCTTGAAGGAGCTGGGGGTGGTGACGGCCGACACAGAGCTCTGGCGTGGGCTGGTCCATGAGGTCACGAAGAGTCAGAGATGACTGAACGAATGAACAACAACAACCCACATATCTGTTTCCAATTACGATAAGAGTCGTCAAGTCCAGTATCATGTTCAAAGTGCTGCTGCGTCCACTAGCCGAAAGCCTGATTCCCAAACCACGAGTTTAGTTTTTTCCTTTATATAATCACATAATCACATATCTGTTTCCAATTACCATAAGAGTCATCAGGTCCAGTACCATGTTCAAAGTGCTGCTGCGTCCACTAGCTGCAAGCCTGATTCCCAAACCATGATTTTAGGAAAGGAGGGAGGACGCCGATCTAATCTCACTCGGGAGCGAATTCCACAAGCGGGGGGTCACCACCGAGAAGGCCCTGTCCCTCATCCCCACCAGATGTGTTTGCGAGGCCGGTGGGATCAAGACCATGGCCTCCCCAGTAGATCTTAAAAGTATGAGGTGGAACATAGAGGGAGATACGTTTGGATAAGTAAGGTGGGCCAGAACCATATAGGGCTTTATAGGCCAAGACCAGCACTTTGAATTGTGCTCGGAAGTGGACCGGCAGCCAGTGGAGCTGACATAACAGCGGGGTGGTGTGCTCCTTGCCACAGAGCCATGGTAAGGGAGGCCCTCAGAGCTGGAGAAGGGAGAAAGCAGGTGGGCAGAGGCCCCTCAACTCCTGGGCAATGCCGGTGATGTACTCTGGTCTCCGGCCCATCTCATTTTTCATGCCCAAGTGTCACTGTATTGTCGAAGGCTTTCATGGCTGGAATCACTAGGTTGTTGTATGTTTTTTCGGGCTATATGGCTATGTTCTAGAGGCATTTCTCCTGACGTTTCGCCTGCATCTATGGCAAACATCCTCAGAGGTAGTGAGGTCTGTTGGAATTAGGACAATGGGTTTATATATCTGTGGAATGGCTGGGGTGGGGCAAGGAGCTCTTCCCTGCTGCAGTTAGGTGTGAATGTTTCATCTGATCACCTTCATTAGCATTTGAAGGCCTGCCTGAGCCTGGGAAAATCTCTTGCTGGGAGGTGTTAATCTGTGCCTGGTTGTTTCCTCTCTGTTGTTTTGCTGTTGTAATTTTAGTTTTTTAATACTGGTAGCCAGATTTTGTTCATTTTCATGGTCTCTTCCTTTCTGTTGAAATTGTCCACATGCTTGTGGATTTCAATGGCTTCTCTGTGTAGTCTGACATGGTGGTTGTTGGTGTGGTCCAGCATTTCTGTGTTCTCAAATAATATGCTGTGTCCAGGCTGGTTCATCAGGTGCTCTGCTATGGCTGACTTCCCTGGTTGAAGTAGTCTGCAGTGCCTTTCATGTTCCTTGATGCGTGTCTGGGCGCTGCGTTTGGTGGTCCCTATGTAGACTTGTCCACAGCTGCATGGTATATGGTAGACTCCTGCAGAGTTGTGAGAGGATCCCTCTTGTCCTTTGCTGAACGTAGCATTTGTTGGATTTTCTTGTAGATTGTTTGTATGTTGTGTTTCCTCATCAGCTTCCCAATGCGGTCAGTGGTTCCCTTGATGTATGGCAAGAACACTTTTCCTCTGGGTGGACCTGTGTCTTGACTCTCGTGGCTTCTTCTCGGTGGTCTCGCAGCTCTTCTGATGTCTGAGGTGGAGTCTCCCTTGGCCTGGAGGGCCCAGTTGAGGTGGTTCAGTTCATCTTGGAGGAGGTGGGGTTCGCAGATTCTTTTTGCACGGTCTGCCAAGGCTTTAATGGTGCTTCTTTTTTGACTTGGGTGATGGTTGGAGTTTTGATGTAGATATCTATCTGTGTGTGTGGGTTTTCTGTAAACGGTGTGACCCAATTGTTGATCTGGTTTGCGGATGACTAGGACATCTAGAAAAGGCAGTCTTCCTTCATTTTCTTTTTCCATGGTGAACTGGATGCAGGCAAAACGTCAGGAGAAATGCCTCTAGAACATGGCTCTATAGCCCGAAAAAACCCACAAGAACCAAGTATCAGTGTTTGCTGTTGACTACAGTAGGCCACTGTATGCCCGGCTCTGGCCTTATCGCATTCTTTGCTGCAAATTGCTACCAACACCCGAAGTCTGTTTCTCCACCCGTTCTTCACCGCCCTCACAATGCAAATGTACTCAGTTACTGATTCCAAGGAGGAAACGCGGAAGGGCTGGCCAGGACTTATTTTGCAAAACATGGAAACCCCTGCTTTCAAATTGATCTGACCGCAGCAGGGAGTTCCACAGTTCCAAGGTGCATGAATTGACTAAGTATCAACAGACAGTGGCACCAGCAACAGCTACAACAAGGAACTATTTTTCCCCTTTCAGGGTCCCTTGGCCACTTTGTAACAAACCCCTAACAAAAATATCCTTTTTCCTAACTTTCAGCTCTGCATGATACATTGTGTCCTTTCCTGACTCCAACTCTGAATCTTCTCTTCCCCAAGCTGCAAAACCCCGCTGGCTCAGTCGGGATGCTCTAACGCAGTGTTTCTCAACCTTCCAAATGCCACGACCCCTTCATACAGTTCCTCATGTTGTGGTGACCCCCAACCATCACATCATTTTCACTGCTAGTTCAGAACTGTAATTTTGCTACTGTTATGAATCATAATGTAAATATCCAATACGCATAATATATTTTCATTCGCTGGACCAAATTTGCACAAATAGCCAATAAACACAAATTTGAATACTGTTGGGGTTGCCGGGGAGTAGGTGATTTTGTCATTTGGGAATTGTAGTTGCTGGGATTTACAGTTCACCTACAATGAAAGAGCATTGTGAACTCCACCAATGATAGAATTGGTCCAAACTTGGCATACAGAACTCCCATGACCAACAGAAAATACTGGAAGGGTTTGGTGACATTGAGTTTTGGAGTTGTAGTTCACCTACATCCAGAGAGTACTGTGAACTCCAACAATGATGCATCTGGACCAAACTTGGCAGTAATATTCAATATACCCAAATGTGAACACTGGTGGAGTTTGGGGGAAATAGACCTTGACATTAGGGAGTTGTAGTTGCTGGGATGTATAGTTCACCTACAATCAAAAAGCATTCTGAACCCCACCAATGATAGAATTGGGCCAAATGTCTCATACAGAACCCCCACGACCAACAGAAATTACTGTATTTTCTCATCGTCTTTGGCGACCCCTCCAACATCCCCTCATGACCCCCCTAGGGGTCCCGACCCCCAGGTTGAGAAACGCTGCTCTAGCGGCATCCCAGGGGCAGGCATGTAGCTGGGGGGGGGGGCTTGAGGGGCTTCAGCCCCACCCCGAAATTCTCATGGTGGTCTGCAAAAAGGCCTTACTGTTACATTATTTAAACTGTTATGTTTATTCATATCATGATCTGATCACCATGCTCAATATATCCCATATGCATGGAGGTATTGGGGTAACAATACAAAAGATTTGCTAGGGTAGACCCTCTTTCACTCGGACTCAGCCCCCCTGAACCAAATTCCCCCCCCCCCCGAATCAAAATCCTGGCTACGGGCCTGCCCAGGAGGGCATGGAACTTCGATCCCTTAGGCCGCGGATATTGGGGCCTGTCGGGCCTCTGTATCCGCGGCTTAACCGATTCCTTCCAAACCAACGCTATCTTCTTTCTTAATTAATTTTAAGACTAACTGCTTCAAAGGGAGAGAGGTTTTCTGGACTTACCACTGAGATCTACCAGAGCATTCTGCATGTCGGTGCCCACCCGAGAAACCACCGGGCAGAAGATCAGCAGGAAGTGGGCAGAGAAATCATCGTTCTTGAGATGGATAAAGTGACTGGAAAGGTAGTCGGAGACCTTCATTAAGAACTTATTCTCACAACCAGCAGTCTGCCCGGTGACATGGACCTTGATGGGGAGCTCTGGAGAAGGAAAAAGAAGAGAAGAGAAGAGAAGAGAAGAGAAGAGAAGAGAAGAGAAGAGAAGAGAAGAGAAGAGAAGAGAAGAGAAGAGAAGAGGGTGAAGGACGACATTCTCTTGCATCTACATTGGCCTCAATTGAACCAAAAAAAAGGTTCAAAACTGAGTTTGGAAGTAGAGGGCACTGTTGGTTCAATTCTAAAGCCACTCCTGAATATCTTTTTAAAACCTTCCGAAACTTCCAAAAACTTCTGAATCAATTTCTTAATGCAGATGCTCATGCACAGTAGCGAAAAACAGCCCTGGCACTGGGGAAAATTGAGGGAATTCTCCCTCCTTCATTTTTAGACCAATCCTGATTAAACTTGCTACAGTGGTAGAACACGTGGACTACTATTAGCTCACCAAATTTCATAACCTTTGACTTATCCATGGATTTTTGGTAAATTTTCAAAGATTTTATAAAAAAACATTTTTCATAATAAAGAAAATCTGTTCCTGGTTTGGAAGTGTTATTTCCTGTTTCACTGGGAGGTCGTTATTTTGAAAGTAGTCATTCTCCTCCAGAAACTTTGTTTGTGTGGCAGAAACTGTGTTACATTTGGTGGAGAACAGAACTGCTGACCAAAAGGTCAGTGGTTCAAATTTAGGGAGTGGGGTGAGCTCCTGTCTGTCAGCTCCAGCTTCTTGTGTGGGAACATGAGAGAAGCCTCCCATACCAGAAGCTACTTGCAGTTTCTCAAGTCGCTCGTGACACAAAGAAAGAAAGAAAAAAACAGAAGCTGGATGGCCACCAGTTGGGAGGGCTTGGATTGAGCATTCCTGAACTGCCAAAGGGGGTTGGACTGGATGGCCTTTGGTGTTCTCTTCAAACTCTACTAGAATATAACATGATTGGAAGTGTGGTTCAGTCTTAGAAACCTTAATGGTTTCTAATCATAGTACAGACCCCATCAAGGGACATCTAGACTGACCCCCTTCTTCTGGGCAGAAAGGCACCATCCAAACTCTCCTGACATCCATTTGCTTCCTCTACTGAGCTGGAGGAGACCCTCAAGACACATCCATCCGCTGATTCCTTTCTGCAGATGCAATGAATCAATTTATGTTATCATTACTTACTGACTGACTGTAAAGGGCTGGCTGGTTGACTTGCTGTGGCTAGCTTTCCCAGGGCCTTGTTCATGGCAATCAGGCCAAAGTAAAAAGATTGTTTTTATAAAGCAGTTTATGATCTCTTGGCTTTGCAAAAGTTGTTTATTGCTTGCTGTTGCATCCCAGTTCAAGAAACGAGACCATAAGATTAAATCCACCACACTGGACTGTAGGAAAGGCAATCCTTGTTAATCGATGAAAAATTGGTTGCAAAAGAAAGGTAAATGCAAAGTAAAAAAGCCACAGAAAAACACAGCAGTCAGTAGAATCTCTGAACTTGAGCAAAATTTCAAAAGCCACAATACAAGAACCAGGAATCTGTTAGCCTTTTACTAACCGTGAACTTGATAACTAAGCCTCTGGGATTACCGGCCATGGAACACAGGAATTCTGCCAAGGCACAGCCACAGTCCCAAATGTTGCTTGATCTAAAGAAGCACCCGGCAGGAGGCCTCTTAAACCAAAGAAGCTATTCTTTGAAACGCCCCTTGACTTTGAAGCCTGGGCCTATCTCTCCTGTAAACGATGTGACCTTCGTAGAAACTGGGAAACATTTCTGTCTCTAACTATCTGTTCTCTTCGGTCCTCATTAAAAAACCCACGTGGAGAGATATCACGGCTAGCTTCCAAAACATTTTCCTCCAGCTGTTGAGTTTCATTTTCATCCCCGCTGACCTCTGCATCAACAACAGATTCCACACTGTCAGAGTCAGGGAGAGCTTGCTCAGTTGGAAAAACTATCAGAGAATCCGGTTCACACAGATCAGCATCAGGCTGAACCCCAACACTTGCTTTCTTTAGACTCCTTTGTAGATTCAATCAATTTATTTTATATTTAGACAAAGACTACTACAGACAGCTATTTTGGGTCCTTCAGCCATCATTTGGCTACTGAGCAGATGTGCATTGTGGGAAATGTAGTGTAACAGCAGGGCCTTTTGCAATCTCTACCATTGGGGGCTGGCCTTCCCAAACTACAGTTAAGATGGCTGTGATTGAAGCACAACGTGTTTGTAGACCGGGACATCCGTAGGGAGACCAAGGTGCTTGTTTGTAAACCTATTGTCCTCCTAATCCTGCTATACGCCTGCAAAACATGGACTATCTACAGGCTAAACATGCCCAGTTCTTTAAGCCGCTCCTCATAGGGCTTGTTCTCCAGACCCTTGATCATTTTAGTCGGAGAACAAGCCCTATGAGGAGCAGCTTAAAGAGCCAGGCATGTTTAGCATGGAGAAGAGACAGCTGAGAGGAGACATGATAGCCATGTATAAATATGTGATAGGAAGCCACAGGGAGGAAGGAGCAAGCTTCCTTTCTGCTGCCCTGGAGATTAGGACATGGCACAATAGCTTCAAACTACAAGAGAGGAGATTCCATCTGAACATTAGGAAGAACTTCCTGACTGTGAGAGCCGTTCAGCAGTGGAACTGTCTGCCCCGGAGTGTGGTGGAGGCTCCTTCTCTGGGGGCTTTTATTTATTTATTTATTTATTTATTTATTTATTTATTTATTATTCAAACTTATATGCCGCCACTCCCCTGGGGCTCGGAGCGGCTTACAAGAATGGCTAAAATCTAACAAAATGTAAAAGCAATTTAAATCAATTTAAAAACAACAATATCAAACATTAAAAGCCTGTCGAAACAGATATGTCTTACAAGCCCTGCGGAAAGCTGATAAGTCCCGCAAGGCACGGACTTCAGGTGGCAGAGTATTCCGGAGTGATGGTGCCACTGCTGTGAAGGCTCTGCGCCTGGTTGCTGTTAGACGCAAGGTCTTGACACTGGGGACTTCCAATAGATCTTGGTCCTCAGATTGGAGGGATCTCTGGGGTTGGGAGGGGGTAAGGCGGTCCCTCAGGTACATCGGCCCCAGACCATGCAAGGCCTTCAAGGTGAGTACCATCACTTTGAAAGTGATCCGGTGCTCAATCGGTAACCAATGCAGCTGTAGTAAGATTGGGGTGATGTGGCATCTCATCGGAATTCCCGCAAGAAGCCGAGCAGCTGCATTTTGCCCCAACTTGAGCTTCCGGATCACCGATAGAGGAAGGCCAATGTAGAGGGCGTTACAGTAGTCCAGTCTTGAGATGACCGTGGCCTGGATCACCGTAACTAGGTTGTCCCTGGACATGGAGGGGGCCAGCCGTCTAGCCTGCCGCAGGTGAAAAAAGGCGGTTGACCATCTGTCGGGGGTGCTTTGAATGCAATATTCCTGCTTCTTGGCAGAATGGGGTTGGACTGGATGGCCCATGAGGTCTCTTCCAGCTCTATGATTCTATGTCACATGCAACTCCTGGAACGATTCCATCAGTGTTGCCTCTGGAAAATCCTGCAAATCTCTTGGGAAGATAGGCAGATAAATGTCAGCGTGCTGGAAGAAGCAAAGGCAGCCAGCATTGAAGCAATGGTCCTCCGCCATCAACTCCGCTGGACTGGCCACATTGTCCGGATACCCAGAAATCACCGTCTCCCAAAGCAGTTGCTCTACTCAAGAATGAAAAACGAAAGGTTGGAGGGCAGGAAAAGGGACTTAAAGATGGGCTCAAAGCCAACATTAAAAACTGTGGCATAAACACTGAGAACTTGGAAGCCCTGGCCCTTGAGCACTCTAGCTAGAGGTCAGCTGTGACCAGCAGTGCTGCAGAAATTGAAGAGGCATGAATGGAGGGCGAAAGGAAGAAATGTGCCAAGAGGAAGGCGCATCAAGCCAACCCCGACCGAGACCGCCTTCCACCTGGAAACCAATGACCTCACTGTGGAAGAAGATGCAGATCAAGAATAGGGCTCCACAGCCACCACCAAGACGCAACACTTGGAGGGACATCATCCTCGGGCTACGAGGGATCAGCTAAGTATAGTCACATTAGGGCATACTGAATATCCGTGCCAGATCCATCATTGTTTGAGTCCAGAGTGCTCTCTGGATGTAGGTGAACTACAACCTCAAAACTCAAGGCCAATGCCCACCAAACCCTTCCAGTATTTTCTGCTTGTCATGGAAGTTCTGTGTGCCAAGTTTGGTTCAAGTTTGGCTCCACAGTCATCTATGTACTCACCACTTAAGAGGACAATCTTACTCAGACAACGAGGGATCACCTAAGCAAGCCAGTTTGTAAACCTCTGCTTTATGTCATGCTTTCAAGGAAGGTGGGCTATTGTCAAACGGCTTAGCCCATTGTTTCAGTCCAGCCCTGAACCCTTCCATGCCATAAGCATTTGCTCAACACCAACAATTTCACCCACCTTTTTCAAAGCATATACAGCAGGTTCCTTGTTTCTCCCACTTCTGCCTTCCTATCTCCTCCGGAGGTTCTTCCAGCAGCCACCTTTCCTCCCCTCCATGACATAGGCAACGGCGCAGACACTCAGCCTGAAAGCGGGGAGCAGAGGTTACATGGGGCACGAGGAATCCCTTTGGCCTCAGGGTTGGAGGACACACTCACTGCCTGCAAAGGAGGACAAGGCCACAGGCTTTCCAGCCAGATGAGTATGGGCAGTCCCCAAGTTGCAAACATCCGACTTACAAATGACTCCTAGTTAAGAACAGGGTGAGACAACAGGAGAGGTCAGACCAAGCACGATCCCTGGGGAAGGCAATGGCAAACCACCCCAGTCAGGCCCGTAGCCAGGATTTCGTTTCCGGGGGGGGGGATTCAGGGGGGGTTTCGGGGGGCTGAGTTTCGGGGGGGTATCATTACCCCAATAACCCCATGCATATGGGATATATTGAGTATGGTGATCACATCATGATATCAATAAACATAACAGTTTAAGTAATGCACCAATAAGGCCTTTTCGCGAACCACCATGAGAATTTCAGGGGGGGCTGAAGCCCCTAACCCCCCCCCCCCCCCGGCTACATGCCTGACCCCAGTATTCCAGAGGACAGGAGCAGAATTCAAACCAATCTTAAGAGATGAGAGAGATTTATTTATTTATTTATCGTGTCATCCGCAGCCAGAACATTGTATTACATTTCTAACAGAACAAAACAAACAAACAGATAATAAAAAAACACAGAATTTTGCAAACTTGGTAGTTGATTAAATGTCCTTTGACCAGTATCTGGCCACGTGGAGTGCCTCTGGTGTTGCCGCAAGAAGGTCCTCCATGGTGCATGTGGCAGGGCTCAGGGTGCATTGCAGCAGGTGGTCAGTGGTTTGCTCTTCTCCGCACTCGCATGTCGAGGATTCCACTTTGTAGCCCCATTGCTGAAGGTTGGCTCTGCATCTCGTGGTGCCAGAGCGCAGTCTGTTCAGCGCCTTCCAAGTCGCCCAGTCTTCTGTGTGCCCAAGGGGGAGTCTCTCATTTGGTATCAGCCATTGGTTGAGGTTCTGGGTTTGAGCCTGCCACTTTTGGACTCTCGCTTGCTGAGGTGTTCCAGCGAGTGTCTCTGTAGATCTTAGAAAACTATGTCGGGATTTAAGTCATTGATGTGCTGGCTGATACCCACACAAGGGATGAGCTGGAGATGTCTCTGCCTTGGTCCTTTCACTATTGGCTGCTACTGGTTGTTAACTGCTCTGAGTCGCCTTCGGGCTGAGAACAGCAGTATACAAATAAAGTAAGTAAGCAAATAAATAAATAAATATAATACTCCACTTAGGCAGAAAAAATGAAATGCAAAGATACAGAATGGGGGACTCCTGGTTTGAGAGCAGTACGTGTGAAAAAGATCTTGGGAGTCCTTGTGGGGAGGAAGGGGAACATGATCCAGGAATGTAATGCAGTGGCAAAAAAAAAGCCAATGGGATGTTGGCCTGCATCAAGAGGAGCCCAGTGTCTAGATCTAGGGAAGTCATGCTCCCCATGCTCTATTCCGCTTTGGTTAGACCACACCTGGAATATTGTGTCTAATTCTGGGCACCACAATTCAAGAGAGATATTGACAAGCTGGAATGTGTCCAGAGAAAGAGGACGACTAAAATGATCAAGGGTCTGGAGAACAAGCCCTATGAGGAGCGGCTTAAGGAGCTGGGCATGTTTAGCCTGAAGAAGAGAAGGCTGAGAGGAGACATGATGAGGGCCATGTATAAATATGTGAGTGGAAGCCACAGGGAGGAGGGAGCAAGCTTGTTTTCTGCTTCCCTGGAGACTAGGACGCAAGGGAATAATGGCTTCAAACTACACGAGAGGAGATTCCATCTGAACATGAGGAAGAACTTCCTGACTGTGAGAGCCGTTCAGCAGTGGAACTCTCTGCCCCAGAGTGTGGTGGAGGCTCCTTCTTTGGAAGCTTTTAAACAGAGGCTGGATGGTCATCTGTCAGGGGTGATTTGAATGCAATATTCCTGCTTCTTAGTAGAATGGGGTTGAACTGGATGATGGCCCAGGAGGTCTCTTCCAACTCTAGGATTCTTTGATTCTAGGATTCTATGACAAGAGTCCTTTGTCTCACCCTGGTCATTCCACAGATATATAAACCCAATTTCCTAGTTCCAACAGACCTCACTGCCTCTGAGGATGCTTGCCATAAATGCAGGTGAACGTCAGGAGAGAATGCCTCTAGACCATGGCCATACAGCCCGAAAAAACCTACAACAACCCGTGGTCATAAAGCCTGAAAAATTCACAACAACCCAGTGATTCCGGCCAGGAAAGCCTTCAGCAAGACATTGAGTGTCATGCCATGTTTTTAAACTTTGTGTTTCCAAAGCCTGGAACTCCAGGTCTCGGCGGTGGCTGGGAGAGCTTTTGCACAACTAAAACTTGTGCGCCAGGTGCGCCTGTACCTTGGGAAGTCTGATCTGGCCACGGTGGTCCACGCTCTTGTTACATCCCGAATAGATTACTGCAATGCGCTCTACGTGGGGTTGCCCTTGAAGACTGTTCAGAAACTTCAATTAGTTCAACGAGCGGTGGCTAGATTACTCACCGGAGCGTCATACAGGGAGCATACCACCCCCCTGTTGTGTCAGCTCCACTGGCTGCCGATCCAGTTCCGCGCACAATTCAAAGTGCTGGTTTTGACCTACAAAACCCTATACGGCTCCGGCCCAGCGTATCTGTCCGAACGCATCTCCTTCTACGTCCCGCCTCGGAGTTTAAGATCTTCTGGGGAGGCCCTGCTCTCGGCCCCACCTCTATCACAAGTGAGATTGGTGGGGACGAGGAGCAGGGCCTTCTCGGTGGTGGCCCCTCGCCTGTGGAATTCACTTCCCGGGGAAATTAGGTCATCGACATCCCTCCTCTCTTTTAGAAGGAAACTAAAAACATGGATATGGGACCAGGCCTTTGGGTAATCTGGCAGAAGGATAAAGGACAATGACGACCAGAGTAGGAAAGGACTATGACAATGCTGGATGGATTATGGATTTATGAATTGGCGAACGTTGACCACAAGATGATTTTATTGCTGCAGATGACACCACTCTGATGGCCGAAAGCGAGGAGGAGCTGAGGAGCCTTCTAATCAAGGTGAAAGAAGAAAGCGCAAAAGCTGGGTTGCAGCTAAACATAAAAAAAACCCAAGATTATGGCAACAAGAATGATTGACAACTGGGAAATAGAGGGAGAAAATGTGGAGGCCGTGACAGACTTTGTATTTCTAGGTGCAAAGATGACTGCAGATGCAGACTGTGGCCAGGAAATCAGAAGACGCTTCCTTCTTGGGAGGAGAGCAATGTCCAGTCTCGATAAAATAGTGAAGAGTAGAGACATCAGACTGGCAACAAAGATCCGCATAGTCAAAGCCATGGTATTCCCTGTAGTCACCTACGGATGTGAGAGCTGGACCTTAGGGAAGGCTGAGCGAAGGAAGAAAGATGCTTTTGAGCTGTGGTGTTGGAGGAAAGTTCTGAGAGTGCCTTGGACCGCTAGAAGATCCAACCAGTCCATCCTCCAGGAAATAAAGCCCTGGCTGCTCACTGGAGGGAAGGATACTATAGACAAAGTTGAAGTACTTTGGCCACATCATGAGGAGACAGCAAAGCCTAGAGAAGAGAATTATGCTGGGGAAAGTGGAAGGAAAAGGAAGAGGGGCCGACCAAGGGCAAGATGGATGGATGGCATCCTTGAAGGGACTGGACTGACCTTGAAGGATCTGGGGGTGGTGACGGCTGACAGGGAGCTCTGGCATGGGCTGGTCCATGAGGTCACGAAGAGTCGGAGACGACTGAACGAATGAACAACAACAACAACTGTTGTCGTTATATTGTATTTTGTATATTGTATTAAGTGAACTTTTGGGCATCGAGATGTGCCTTTTGTAAGCCGCCCTGAGTCCCCCCTAGGGGGTTGAGAAGGGTAGGGTAGAAGCACCCCAAATAAATAAATAATAAATAAAATATTGTCGAAGGCTTTCATGGCTGGAATCACTAGGTTCTTGTGGGGTTTTTCGGGCTATAGGGCCATGTTCTAGAGGCATTTCTCCTGACGTTTCGCCTGCATCTATGGCAAGCATCCTCAGAGGTAGTGAGGTCTGTTGGAATTAGGACAATGGGTTTATATATCTGTGGAATGGCTGGGGTGGGGCAAAGAGCTCTTCTCTGCTGGAGCTAGGTGTGAATGTTTCAACTGACCACCTTCATTAGCATTTGAAGGCCTGGCTGAGCCTGGGAAAATCTTTTGTTGAGAGGTGTTAATCTGTGCCTGGTTGTTTCCTCTCTGCTGTTTTGCTGTTGTAATTTTAGTGTTTTTTAATACTGGTAGCCAGATTTTGTTCATTTTCATGGTTTACTCCTTTCTGTTGAAATTGTCCACATGCTTCTTATGGATTTCAGTGGCTTCTCTGTGTAGTCTGACATGGTGGTTGTGAGCGTGGTCCAGTATTTCTGTGTTCTCAAATAATATGCTGTGTCCAGGCTGGTTCATCAGGTGCTCTGCTATGGCTGACTTCTCTGGTTGAAGGAGTCTGCAGTGCCTTTCATGTCCCTTGATTACAACAGCAAAACAGCAGAGAGGAAACAACCAGGCACATCTTAACACCTCTCAACAAAAGATTTTCCCAGGCTCAGCCAGGCCTTCAAATGCTAATGAAGGTGGTCAGTTGAAACATTCCCACCTAGCTCCAGCAGAGAAGAGCTCTTTTTCCCACTCCAGCCATTCCACAGATATATAAACCCAGTTTTCCTACTTCCAACAGACCTCACTACCTCTGAGGATGCTTGCCATAGATGCAGGCGAAACGTCAGGAGAGAATGCCTCTTGAACATGGCCCTATAGCCCGAAAAAACCCACAAGAACCTAATAAATAAAATACTTGAGAACTCTGCCTTCTGTTCGCTCCTGATAGGAGAAATCAATCAATCAACAAGGTCTGTTATCTTGAATTCTGCTCAGGAGGTCAGGCTTGCTTCAGGAACCCGAAAGAGAAAGCCAAAGGCGGGAGGAGGCCAGGGAGGCTCCAGCCTCGGGACTTGGCACCGGGGGCATTTCCGGCCAAGGCAGCCCTGGCCGGGGGGGGGGGGTCAGTTTCCAACAGAAGGGAAAGCGAGGCACACTCAGGAGGGCCACCCCAGGGGTCCCCGCTCCCACTTCCCTTTCCTCCTCCTAGGAAACCAGGGCAAAGCTCCCCCGCCCCTGGCTTGGCCCTCTTTCGCACCCCGTCCTGCCCTGCCCTGCTCTCTGCACATGCTCAGGGGCGCAAAGGGGTCCACCCAACCCTCTTCCTCCTCCTCCTCCTCCTCCTCCAATAATACTGACCGCTCTGCAGCACTGGTCCCAGAGCCAGATGAAGGGGAAGGAAAACCAGTAACAGACCCGGCGCCAGTCGCAAGCTCCCATCTCCGCCCAGAAAGTGAAACTGAAAGAGGAAGAACACCCGTGGGAGGGTGTGGAGGGAGGCCCTCCTAATTGGTCGCCACACACCCCGGGCACAGACCCAGCGCCTCGGAGCATGGGCAGAGTTCTCCTTGCCTCTCTCTCTCTCTCTGTTCCACAGAGGGCGTGCAGAGTGCCCAAGCGGCCGAGCCTGGGTAGAGACACTTTTCGAAAAGGGGGGCGTGTTGCAAAATGCGCCTCCTTTTCTTTTCAAACTGTTTATGTTAAGGACTAGCCATCCCTTGCCACACGTTGCTGTGGCCCAGTCTGTGTTTATGTGTGTGTATATATTTGTGTGTATATATATATACTAGCGGTCCCCTGCCACGCGTTGCTGTGGCCCAGTCTGTTGATCTGGAAAATAAAGTAATAAGAAAGTGTTGGTTTCTAATCTATGCAATTTCTTTATGCTTGTGGGTCAACAGCATTTCTTGCTGTTTCTTTGTCAGTGTGGATGTGGAGAGTGTCTGGTTTACCTACTCTGGATCATAGAATCAAAGAGTTGGAAGAGACCTCAAGGGCCATCCAGTCCAACCCCATTCTGCCAAGAAGCAGGAATATTGCATTCAAAGCACCCCCGACAGATGGTCAACTGCCTTTTTTCACCTGCGGCAGGCTAGACGGCTGGCCCCCTCCATGTCCAGGGACGACCTAGTTACGGTGATCCAGGCCACGGTCATCTCAAGACTGGACTACTGTAACGCCCTCTACATTGGCCTTCCTCTATCGGTGATCCATCCAGTCCAACCCCATTCTGCCAAGAAGCAGGAATATTGCCTTCAAATCACCCCTGACAGACGGCCACCCAACCTCTGTTTAAAAGTCTCCAAAGAAGGAGCCTCCACCACACTCCGGGGCAGAGCGTTCCACTGCTGAACGGCTCTCACAGTCAGGAAGTTCTTCCTCATGTTCATATGGAATCTCCTCTCTTGTAGTTTGAAGCCATTGTTCCGCGTCCTAGTCTCCAAGGAAGCAGAAAACAAGCTTGCTCCCTCCTCCCTGTGGCTTCCTCTCACATATTTATACATGGCTATCATATCTCCTCTCAGCCTTCTCTTCTTCAGGCTAAACATGCCCAGCTCCTTAAGCCGCTCTTCATAGGGCTTTTTCTCCAGACCCTTGATCATTTTAGTCGCCCTCCTCTGGACACATTCCAGCTTGTCAATATCTCTCTTCAATTGTGGTGCCCAGAATTGGACACAGTATTCCAGGTGTGGTCTAACCAAAGCGGAATAGAGCATGGAGAGCATTACTTCCTTAAATCTAGACACTCTGCTCCTATTGTTGCAGGCCAAAATCCCATTGGCTTTTTTTGCTGCCACATCACATTGTTGGCTCATGTTTAACTTACTGTCCATCCGGGAAGGCGCCGCTCTCTCTTCCTCTGCTGTCTCAAACAAGGTTGGTGGGGACAAGGGAGAGGGCCTTCTCGGTGGTGGCCCCTGGCTCTGGAATTCCCTCCCTAGGTAGATCAGACAGGCTCTTACTTTGTCCTCTTTTCAGAGACAACTAAAAACCTGGATGTTCTGTGTGCTTTCGATTAAGCACTCCATCAGTAATTTTCCTGTCCCTACTTGAGGTTCAGCACATTACGTCGGCCCTCTTATCATCTACCTCAACACTTTTGATGACAGTTTTCCCAACCTTGTCTACTTGATTGTTGCACTTTCTTTGTGCTCCTTTCAGGATATATTCCACTCATTGAGTCTGAACTTCAGCTATGTTCTTTTTCTCAGCTATATTGTTTTGATAGGACGCAATGGAGCCATGCCTTCAAACTACAAGAGAGGAGATTCCATCTGAACATGAGGAAGAACTTCCTGACTGTGAGAGCCGTTCAGCAGTGGAACTCTCTGCCTCAGGGTGTGGTGGAGGCTCCTTCTTTGGAAGCTTTTAAACAGAGGCTGAATGGGCATCTGTCAGGGGTGCTTTGAATGCAATATTCCTGCTTTTTGGCAGAATGGGGTTGGACTGGATGGCCCATGAGGTCTCTTCCAACTCTAGGATTCTATGTCCCACCTCTGAGTTTAAGGCCTTCTGAGGAGGCCCTGCTCTCGGCCCCACCTTTGTCTCAAACACACTTGGCGGTGACAAGGCACTGGGCCTTCTCAGTGGTGTCCCCCCCCCCCGTCATCATCCCCCCCCCCCCGCTGTGGAACACACTCCCCAGGGAAGTTAGGTCATCTTCATCCCTCCTCACCTTTAGAAAAAAGTAAAAAATGTGGATGTGGGACCAGGCCTTCGAGTAATTAAGCGGACAATGACAATAACAATGTTGACAATGGCTTGGAAATGGATTATGGATAAGTTTGATGGAGCATCCAACCACAGTTTTCGGCCACCAGAGTGGTAATTCTTAGTAGTTTTAATTGTATTGTTTTAATGTTTTTAACTATTTATAATTATTGACTCTTTGTTTTTATTATGTATATACTGAGGCATCAAATTGCTGCCAATTGGAAGCCGCCCTGAGTCCCTGTTGTGACTCAGCTGGAACCACAGAGTGTCTCTGATGAGGATGATGGGATTCAGGTTCACAATCTGGTTCAAAATGTCCCTGTTTTGGTCAATGAAGAACAGGGTGTGGAAGTTCAATTTTCCACAGCAAGAAATGAGTTTGTTGATACTGAAACTAGCCAGGTGTAGGTGCAGATTGACTCAGAGAAGGAGGACAGTTCTCAGCCTGATAATGAGCAGGAAGGGAAACTGGATAACACTAACGAACAGACTGACCTTGATGAAACAGGAACCTTAGATCATGCCGTCCGTTTGAATTTCAGAATTCGAAGGAGTGTGAGAATAGCTAACAAGAAGGAGGTCAGAGGCCAAAGAAATGCCTTCATGTTTGGCAAAGGGTATTAAACAGTGTGTTTGGGACCAAACCTTTGTCAGATCAACTTTTCGTTTAACCAAGAAGCTTGCATTTTGCTTGTTTGGATTATCTTGCAGTTCTTGTGTTCATGGTCTCAGGACTCAGTCATGTTCTCATGGGATTTTGCTTTGCTGGTGCCCTTTTGGGTCATGCTGCAAAGTGTTATTTTGTATTGCTCTTTTAAAACATTATTTTTGCTTTTAAGAACTTTTTATCTTCTTTTTTTAAATAAACTATAAAGACTTCTGGCTGTGTGCAGTTTGGTGTTTTTGCCAAGGTGAACCTATTCTGAGGTGCGACAGTCCCGTCCCCCGTCCTCCCACTCAGGGGGTTGAGAAGGGTGGGGTACAAATATTCTAAATAAATAAATAAATAATAAAAATGGGCAAACCGAGGGAGTCAAGCTTTGACTGAAAAGAACAGATTTATCAGGATCGCCACCTGGAATTAGGGAGGAGCCGCTCCGCAAGGGTGAGAGAAAAGAGGGGTCAGGGAGAGGTTTCCCAAGGGAAATGGAATGCTTTTGCTATGGCTTTGTGAATAAATATAGGGCCTGTGAATCTATAGTCTTCAGTGAGTCCAATGTTTGGTTTTCATGCACAATCATATCTTTTGCTTCATGCCTGATATCCATGCTTTCCTGTTCATGCTAAGATTCTGCCTTGGACTCATGTTCATGCTAAAATTTTTGTAAGTTGTTTGTCTTGGTTTCAAGCTGCTGCATCTGGATTTATTGGTTCAAGTTTGCTTGTTTCTTCAAGGGACTTTGGTCTTTGCAAACTTTTGGAACTGAAAGACTTTACTTCTATGGATTTCGATGCGGACGACACTCAACTCCTGTTGCGCTTGGAGCCTGGAGTAATGTCAATACCTGACAATTTCACCTTATGCCTGGAGGCTCTGTTGAACTGGCTACGTGCTAGCAGACTGAAGGTGAATCCGGTGAAGACTGAGATCCTGTGAGATGGCCGCCCGATAGGTCTGACCCATCCGTTACCCACCTTTGATGGCGCTGCTTTATCTCCATCGCCTACCGTTAAGAGCCTAGGTGTCACTTTGGATTCGCAGCTGACGATGGAAGCTCAGGTCGCTGCTGCCAGCAAACAGGCCTTTTTCCATCTACAACAAGCGAGGCAACTGGCACCTTACCTGTCGGATGAGGCTCTGGCAACAGTCATCCATGCCACAGTCACATCTAGGCTAGACTATTGTAATGCCTTGTATGTTGGCCTTCCGATGTCTACGACCCGAAAACTCCGTATTGTCCAGAATGCTGCAGCCAGGTTACTCACAAAAACACCCATGAAATGCCATAGAACACGAGTGCTGCGGCATCTACACTGGCTCCCAATTGAGTATCATGGTTTGTATAAGATGCTGGTCCTGACCTTTAAAACTTTATATGGCCAGGGTCCATTGTATCTTAGAGACCGCCTCTCCTTCTCCCATCATCGGAGGTCGCCACGACCATCCCAACGCGATTTGCTCTATATGCCGGGTCCTAGGGAAGTGCACTTGGAAAGCACCAGACACAGGGCCTTCTCTATTTCTGCCCCTGCCTTATGGAATTCCTTGCCTCCCTATTTGAGATGAGCCATGCGTGACTCAGGGCATTTTATCCTAGCACTTAAAACCTGGCTTTTTACTAGAGCATTTGACCCATGTTAATTTTAATATTTGTATGTATGTGTTTTATCCTGTATAATTTCTGCTATGTAAATCGCCTGGAGCATCTCGGATGGAGGGCGATTAATAAGAAATTACAGATGATGATGATGATGATTTGTTTACTGGATTTTGGGACCTTCCTGTTTTCTGATTTAAATTTTGACTGGATTCTATTACATTGCTCAACTGACTATTTTGTGGAGATTTCATTATTACTTGTTTGAATGCTTTTTACCTTTTTGGCTATTGCTATCTTAATCTTTTCTAATAAAGAACATTGGTGGGTTTACAGGTTCAAAGGTGTGTCCAATTCTGGGCACCACAATTCAAGAGAGATATTGACAAGCTGGAATGTGTCCACAGGAGGGCGACTAAAATGATCAAGGGTCTGGAGAACAAGCCCTATGAGGAGCGGCTTAAGGAGCTGGGCATGTTTAGCCTGAAGAAGAGAAGGCTGAGAGGAGATATGATAGCCATGTATAAATATGTGAGAGGAAGCCACAGGGAGGAGGAGGGAGCAAGCTTGTTTTCTGCTTCTTTGGAGACTAGGACGCAATGGAACAATGGCTTCAAACTACAAGAGAGGAGATTCCATCTGAACATGAGGAAGAACTTCCTGACTGTGAGAGCCGTTCAGCAGTGGAACTCTCTGCCCCGGAGTGTGGTGGAGGCTCCTTCTTTGGAAGCTTTTAAGCAGAGGCTGGATGGCCATTTGTCAGGGGTGATTTGAATGCAATATTCCTGCTTCTTGGCAGAATGGGGTTGGACTGGATGGCCCATGAGGTCTCTTCCAACTCTTTGATTCTATGATTCTATGATTCCTCCAGAAACTCTGTGTGGCTGCCACAAACTACGATGAATCTATTGTTCATGGAAGTTCTGTATGATTGAATCCCATTGTTGGGGAATTCAGAATGCTCTTTGATTGTAGGAGCTACTGCAAGTCCCACATGTCTGAGTGTATTTTAACCAAACCTCTCCAGTATCTTCTGTTGGTCATGGGAGTTCTGCATGCCAAGTTTGGTTGAACTCCATTGTTGGGACAGTTCAGAATGCTCTCTGATTGAAGGAGCTACTGCAACCCCCACATGTCTCCCACTATTTTCCCCAAACCTCTCCAGTATTTTCTGTTGCTCATGGGAGTTCGACCAATAGGCTGATCAGTAAACATATTCATGGGTTCCCTGCTGTTGTATTAAGACTGTTACCCATGCTACGACATGCCTGAAGTCAAAATTTCATTTATTTGTTATTAGAAATAAATATTTCACAATATATATTAATTACATACTGTTATTGTGATGAATCACTATGCTTTATGTTCAGTTTGTAGCAATGAAAATGCATCCTGCAGATCAGATATTTACATGACGATTCATAGCCGTAGCAAAATTGCAGTTGTGAAGTAGCAACGAAAATAATTTTATGGTTGGGGGTCACCACAACATGAGGAAATGTATTAAGGGGTCACAACATTAGGAAAGTTGAGAAACACCTTTGTAACTCCTCAACAGATGACAGTACTGGTATACTGTCTTGTTCAGTAGACTCTTCTCTACAGTTCCATTTTGGTGGGAAGCCTTAGCATTGAATTGTTATATTGTTAAAGTGCAAAGTATGGAACCCTGCGCAGACAGTCGGTCAATGCGACTTAAGCAACGCGCATCCATTGAACTCTTCACAGCAGAATGTGTCATCCCAAAGGAGATTTTGCTTACTTCTTGGGAGGAGAGCCATGTCCAGTCTCGATAAAATAGTAAAGAGTAGAGACATCAGACTGGCAACAAAGATCCGCCTAGTCAAAGCCATGGTATTCCCTGTAGTCACCTACGGATGTGAGAGCTGGACCTTAGGGAAGGCTGAGCAAAGGAAGAGAGATGCTTTTGAGCTGTGGTGTTGGAGGAAAGTTCTGAGAGTGCCTTGGACTGCGAGAAGATCCAACCTGTCCATCCTCCAGGAAAGAAAGCCCGACTGCTCACTGGAGGGAAGGAGACCAGAGACAAAGTTGAAGTACTTTGGCCACATCATGAGGAGACAGCAAAGCCTAGAGAAGACAATTATGCTGGGGAAAGTGGAAGGCAAAAGGAAGAGGGGCCGACCAAGGGCAAGATGGATGGATGGCATCCTTGAAGTGACTGGACTGACCTTGAAGGAGCTGGGGGTGGTGATGGCCAACAGGGAGCTCTGGCGTGGGCTGGTCCATGAGGTCACGAAGAGTCGGAGACGACTGAACGAATGAACAACAACAACAAAGGAGATTCATCAGAGAATGCAAGCTGTTTGTGGTGATTGTGTTGACGTGAGTAATGTGCGTCGTTGGGCAAGTAGGTTTAATGATGTTGAGGTGGGAACATTTGACTTGTGTGACAATGAGTTGGACGTCCTGTGACAGCAAGCACCATGTTTCACAAGCAAAAGGTTGACAGATTGATTCAGGACAAACGTCGTATCAGTCAGCGAGAAATTTCAAGCATAATCGGCATTTCACAAGAACGTGTGGGTGACATTATGGCTTTGCTTGGCTATCGGAAGATCTGTGCATGATGGGTTTCGGAAACAGAGTGTCAACTTCTTCCATGACGGCTTCAGAAAACTTGTTCATTGTTGACAGAAATGTATCCAATTGTCTGGTGATTATGTGGGAAAGTGAATAGTGGTAGCTAAAGAGAACATTCTAAGGATTATTTCTGCGTTTGATTTATTAAAATATTCCCATCCAAACCCAAGTAACGAAAGTGGAGGCATTACTTTTCATTCAACCCTCGTAGATCCTTGAATAGATATAGCTGTTTTAAGACCCGGAAACTGTGGGTGCAGAGAGTGAACTGTAATAACAATGCCAACAGGAATATCAGCCTCCTGATCCTTTCCTTTTGCCTTTCTCCCAGTCTCACGATTCCATTGTAGGGCCAAGAGTTTCAGAGACCCCCTTCACCCATTAGCAGTGGTCTTTAAGGACTTCGGCCACAACAGCCACGGCCTCCTCGTTCATCGGGCAAGTGTAGAAGCCACTTTCGAGAGTGTAGCGAGCATGGAGGGTGCGCACCACAGCCGGGTGATGCGCCTGCTTCTTGGTGTCCACGGGGGAGGTGCTCTCCTTCAGTTTGTGATGCAGCATCACCAAGATGGCCTTCGGCTCACCTGGAAAGAGAATCAGAAGCAGTTCTGAAGGCAGAAGGGGTTGGACTGGGTGGCCTTTGGGGTTCCCTCCCAACTCTAGGATTCTATGAACAGAATGCACTGCCTTTTGCGCTGCCTTCCATACAATTTCAACAGAATGGAGGAAACCATGAAAATAAACAAAATCTGACTACCAGTATTAAAAGAAAAAACTCTAAAATTACAACAGCAAAACAACAGAGAGGTAACAATCAGGGACATCTAATCACCTCTCAAAAAAGATTGCTCCAGGCACTGCCAGGCCATCAAATGCTAATCAAGGTGGTAAGTTGAAACATTCACACCTAGCTCCAGCAGACAAAAGTTCTTTGCCCCACCCTGGTCATTCCACAGATATATAAACCTACTTTCCTACTTCCAACAGACCTCACTACCTCTGAGGATGCTTGTCATAGATGCAGGCGAAATGTCAGGAGAAAATGCCTCTAGAACATGGCCATATAGCCCAAAAAAACCTACAACAACCCAGTAAAATCATAATTTTAGTATAATTAATATAATTGTTGTACTCCAGGACAGGAAAAGCTTTAAACACCACATGTGGAGTAGGGAAAACAATCCTTTTATTGAAGATAATTAAAAAGCAGCAAGCAAAAAGCATTTTAAGAAACAGGTAAATCCAATTAGATAAGAAGATAAGCAGGGGCAAAAATAGTCCAGGGTAAAGTTCAGCAAAGTCCATAAAAGCAAAGTCCACATGACTCTAATACAATCCAGAAAATCAGGAATACATTGATCCAAGGTTTGGGTAAGCAATCATGAACTCCAGGAATCAAAACCATGAAATATGAATCTTTAAAGCAAGGCTTTCATGAACAAGGACAAGAACTTGGCGTGATTCTAAATGATGCTTCATCTGACTACACATCCCAAACTTGAGACTTTTATCCCCTCGTTAGCTAGGTCAGTAGCGATCAGAAATTGTTTTTTCTTTAATTGAAGCTTTGTTATTGTTTTCTGTCGAAGCCATTGCTCAGCTCTCCTGTTTTGACTAATCTCTTCTCATCTATCTCTGCGCTCGTTAACTACTTGTTCATTAACTTTTGCAGCTAGGCCAGGTGCCTAGCTATTTTCATGTTCTCTCTCGTGAGAACTCTCTGGTAACAATTCAGAAAGCACACCATCATCCACACACCCCTCAGGGACATTCTCATGGGAAACTACAGGGATCTCCTGGTCATTCTCTGCATCAATATCACTGACCAAACAATTGCCATCTTGAAACTCATCTTGAACCTCATTAACATCATTCCTCACATCCAAAATCCCCTGATCCTGAAACACAATCACAGTCTGAACTCCAACAATAATAGCCACCAACATCCTTGTCCTTTATGTCCTTTTCCATCCAATAATGAGATGCCTGGCAGGTAACAGCATCCTGAAAGCACTACATATTCCAAGACTTGGACAGAGCGCCAGGGATTGCGGGGTCCCCCTTCCCCCTTTGCAGTGGTCTTCCGGGACTTTGGCCACAATGGCCACGGCCTCCTCATTCATTGGGCAGGCATCGAAGCCATTTTCAATGTTGCATCCCAGATCAGGAAACGAGACCATAAGATTAAATCCACCACACTGGACTGTAGGAAAAACAATCCTTTTTTATTGATGAAAAATTGGTTACAAAAGAAAGGCAAATGCAAAGTCAAAGAGCCACAATAGAAACACAGCAGTCAGGAAAATCTCTGAGTTTGAGCAAAATTCCAAAAACCAGAATACAAAAACCAGGAACCTGTTAGCATCTCACTAACCAAGTACTTGAAAACTAGAAGCCTCTGGGATTACCAGCACAAGAACACAGGAATTCTGCCAAGGCACAGCCGCAGTCCCAAACGTTGCTTGATCTAACGAGACACCCAGAAGGAGGCCCCTTAAACCAAAGAAACTATTCCTTGAAACGCCCCTTGACTTTGAAGCCTGGGCCTGTCTCTCCTGTAATCTATTTGACCTTCGTAGAAACTGTGAATCACTCCTGTCTCTAGCTATCTGTTCCTTTTGGTCCTCATTAAAAACACCCAGGTGTGATTTCCTCTGGAGAGCTATCATGGCTGGATTCCAAAACATTTTCATCAGGCTGTTCAGTTTCACTTTCCTCGCCACTGACCTCTGCATCAACAACAGTTTCAACACTATCAGGGAGAGATACCTGTTCAGTGGCTTGCTCATTTGGAAATACAATCAGAGAATCAGGTTCACACAGAGATTGGGGCTCAGGTTCACACAGAGCAGGCTGAAGCCCAACACTCAAGGGTGTAGAGAGCATGGAGAAGGGTGTAGAGAGCATGGAGGGTGTGCACCTTTATGGCAGATTGGGTGGCCCTGGCAGTCTCTTCTAGGAGAGGTTGGCAGGAAAACAGGTCTTTCCACTTTCCATATGCTGCAGCTCAAAGGCTCCCAGCTAGTCACCCCAAGGAGAAAATGCAAAAGAGTTGGCTATGTGTGGAAGGACTTTGCACAAAGGAGAGGCTTGGTTCACTACAACACGACTGGACTTACTGCCGAGACCCTTGAGAGCGTTGGTCATGTCGCTGCCCACTGAGGAAGCCACCGGGCAGAAGACCAGCAGGAAGTGACCAGAGACCTCTCGGTACTTCTCCGTCTTGAGGTTAATACGATGATCAGAAAGATGGTCAGAGAGCTTCTTTAAGAACTGTGCTTCACAGTTACCAGTCTTCCCAGTGACAAGCACCTGGATATGGAAATCTGGGAAAGAGAAGAGGGACAAAGCTCTCTTGAGTTACACCTAGACTGCACTTTGGAGACGTCACCTTCCTCAGAGTCTTGAGAAAGAGTGTCTCACAGAAGTCCCCCAGCTCAGTGTAACTCTGAACCCTGGACCCTCAGCTGCCCAGGTATCACTCCAAGACAGATCCCAAGCACAAAGAGTCTGGAAGTACATCCAAGGGGCCTTGCAGTGTTCTTGGGGACAAAAGGAAGGAGCAGCTGCCTATGGGTCTGATGGAGCTCCTTAAAGCCAACTTGATGGCAATGAGATCTACCAATTCCTGACCACCAATGGCCCCAAGTTCCAGCCTATTACACAGGACAGACTATGGGCGCATCTACACTATAGAATAAATGTAACTTGACACCATTGAATTGTCACAGCTCCAAGGTATGGAACCCAGGAGGGAGTTGTAGCTGCTTTGAGTCATATTTTGAGAGGAAAGAGGGGTCATAGAATCATTGAAAAGACCCTATGGGCCATCCAGTCCAACCCTTCTGCCGGGCAGGGAAAGCAGAATCAAAGCACCCCCAAGAGATGGCCATCCAACCTCTGTTTAAAAGCCTCCAAGGAAGGACCTTCCAGTTGACTCACCTTTGGACAGCTATTTTTACAATGAGGAAGTCCTTATTAATCTTCAGGGGGAACCTCCTTTCCTGTAATTTGAACCCATGGCTCTGAGTCCCAGTCTCCAGGGCTGTAGAATCATAGAATCATAGGGTTGGAAGAGACCTCATGGGCCATCCAGTCAAACCCCATTCTGCCAAGAAGCAGGAATATTGCATTCAAAGCACCCCTGACAGATGGCCATCCAGCCTCTGTTTAAAAGCTTCCAAAGAGGGAGCCTCTACCACACTCCAATATCTAATAATCAGAGGTGGCCCTAGGTAATTTTCAATGGTAAGCAAACAGTATTTTGCCCCCCCCCCCAACCAATCACTGATATATATTTTCTGTTTGTCGTGGGAGTTCTCTGTGCCATATTTGGTTCAATTCCATCATTGGTGGAGTTCAGAATGCTCTTTGATTGTAGGTGAACTATACATCCCAGTAACTACACTTGCCGCACTTGCTCCCTTGCCTGGCCCGCTTTGGGTCCAGAGGTGTGCCTGAAGACCCCGGCATGTGCACCAAAAGTCACCTCTTCTCCTGACTTTCTCCTCAGCCATTGGGACGAGAGAGAGAGAGGTGGAGATGCCCACCTTTCCTGAAGGTAGGCGCAAAAACAAAGGAGGGAGCGGAGGTGGGAGATACCTCCAGCCGGAGGGGCTCTCTCTCTCTCTCTCTCTCTCTTGGTCCCAATGGCTGAAGAGAAAGTCAGGAGAAGAGGCGACTTTTGGTGCGCACGCTGGGGTCTTCAGACACGCCTCCGGACCCAAAGCAGGCCAGGCGCGGCGGCTCCACCCCTTGGCCCACCCGTGGATTGGGGAGAGGAGAGGAGACAGGTGGAGCACCGAGGGATCGGGAAAGGGAGCCGGTCATGGGGAAGGGATCGAACGTGGAGAACCATTGAACGTCCAGCTCTGCTCGTGCACCCGGTGGCCGGGTGGAGCAAGAACGAGAGGGGCTAGGCGAGGCTCAAGGGCCCGGCCCCTTTGGGAAGAGGATCGCCCGCCAGCGAGGCAAGAAAGCCGAGGCTCCCCCCGGACTGTTAGGGCTGTTGTGAGCTGAGGGGCGCTCCTCAAGTGGTGGTCGAGGGGCATTTACAGAGGCGCCTCTGCGCCCCTGGCAAAAAAAGTGTTCTGCGACCGCTTACTTCGCGTAATGGACGAGCCGCCCTTGTTAATCATGCACCAGTGCATCAAGCAGAAAAGGCTAAGGACAGGCCTGTAGCGAGGGGGTGGTTTTAGGGGTTCAACCCCCCCCAAAATGTTTCAGATTTTTTTAAAAAACCTGGTTTACTCATGAATTTTAACTGGTTAACCAAATCCCCATGCTAAGTCTATGAGATGCAAAAAATTAAGAGTCCCTCCAGAATTGCAAGCACTATCTCAAGCAAATATTGACAATTTATTCACACTGTCATTACTTGCAGCAATAGCCGATGTAGTGAAGCAACCAAGTTGGGGGTGTGTATGTTGAATGCTCTCATTAAGGAGGCCAGACTTGGTGGAGGTGGTTGACAGGGGCGGAGCTGCAGGCTATGGAAGGCTGCTCTGCCCCTGCTGTGCTCTTTGCTACAGCATGAGCTAGGAGGCAGGTTTCAACCCCCCCCCCTCCGCAAAATTTTCAACCCCCCCCCCCCGCAAAATTTTCAACCCCTCCCGAAATTTTTTTCTGGCTACGGCCCTGGCTAAGGACTGTGTAAGACAATAACTCAAGCAAATATTGACAAGTTATTCACACTGTTATTACTTGCAGCAAGAGCCGATGTAGTGAAGCAACCAAGTTGGGGGTGTGTATGTTGAATGCTCTCATTAAGGAGGCCAGACTTGGTGGAGGTGGTTGACAGGGGCGGAGCTGCAGGCTATTGAAGGCTGCTCTGCCCCCTGCTGTGCTCTTTGCTTCAGCGTGAGCTAGGAGGCAGGTTTCAACCCCCCCCCCAAATTTCAACCCCCCCCCCCCCGCAAAATTTTCAACCCCCCCCCCCCCGCAAAATTTTCAACCCCTCCCGAAATTTTTTTCTGGCTACGGCCCTGGCTAAGGACTGTGTAAGACAATAACTCAAGCAAATATTGACAAGTTATTCACACTGTTATTACTTGCAGCAAGAGCCGATGTAGTGAAGCAACCAAGTTGGGGGGGTGTATGTTGAATGCTCTCATTAAGGAGGCCAGACTTGGTGGAGGTGGTTGACAGGGGCGGAGCTGCAGGCTATTGAAGGCTGCTCTGCCCCCTGCTGTGCTCTTTGCTTCAGCATGAGCTAGGAGGCAGGTTTCAGACCCCCCCCCCCCCGCAAAATTTTCAACCCTCCCGAAATTTTTTTCTGGCTACGGCCCTGGCTAAGGACTGTGTAAAACACTATCTCAAGCAAATATTGACAAGTTATTCACACTGTATTACTTGCAGCAATAGCCGATGTAATGAAGCAACCAAGTTGGGGTGTGTGTCTGTTGAATGCTCTCATTAAGGAGGCCAGACTTGGTGGAGGTGGTTGACAGGGGTGGAGCTGCAGGCTATGGAAGGTTGCTCTGCCCCCTGCTGTGCTCTTTGCTTCAGCGTGAGCTAGGAGGCAGGTTTCAACCCCCCCCCCCCCGCAAAATTTTCAACCCCCCCCCCCCGCAAAATTTTCAACCCCTCCCGAAATTTTTTTCTGGCTACGGCCCTGGCTAAGGACTGTGTAAGACAATAACTACCAGCATCCCATCACATGGAAACATGGCAGTTGAAGTGGTATCTAACTGCTTTCCTTCTGCAGTGTAGATGCAGCCTCTCAGGGGATTCTATTGTGCAAACTGACCCTGGAGCAGCTCTGCAGGATAAGACTGTAATGCGGCACAACCAAACTGCTCCAGTACAGTACTTTGGATTCATGCATAGACATATAAAAATCCTCCTCCGTCTTTTCCCTTCACCTGCCCAGGTGCCGTTTCACCCACCTGTTTTAGACCATGGAAGCCTAAAAGGTAGGTGTCCTGTCCTCTGGCCTCTCTTGGCCTCCTGAAGCTCTTGCTGCAGACGCTGATTCTCGGCCTTCAGCCGGGCCACCTCCCGGGGCACTTGGGCTTGCTGTTGGAGCTCCTGCTGCAGCCACTGAATCTCAGCCTTGAGACAGGCCACTTCTGTCTTATGAGATGCTTGCAGTTGCTTCTTTTCTTGCAACAGGAGTGTCATTCCTCGAAACAGGAAAGTAAAGTCTTCAGCTTCCTGCACCTTGGCTTTGAGAAGTTCCACGGCCACAGGGTCTGGGAGCAGGCTCACACTCTGGAAAAGAGGAGAAGTCTGCAGGCTTCCAAGCAAGGCAAGTGCGGAAAGGGATCCCTCCAGAGTCAGGGGCTGAATGAGCAGAAACAGGATCCTGGGATTTGTACTTTTCTGGGACAACTGGAGTCATAGAATGCTTGGGTTGGAGGAGACCCCAAGGGCCATCTAGTCCACCCTTTTCTGCCAGGGAGGAAGAAACAATAGAAAGCCTCCTGACAGACTCTGTTTCTAAACCTCCAGGGAAGGAGACTCCATTGGACTCCTAGATAGCCTTTCGCTAGAGGCAAGATGGCCATCTGTCGGGAGGGCACCAATTGTGTCTTCCTGCCCTTGGGAGACCTTTCCAATGTAAAGGATTGTGCCTTGCCTTGGAGTCAAATGGAGTCTTTTTCTATCTCCAGAAGTTTTTAAGCAGATAATCTGTCTGGACTGATTTAAGATGCCTTCCTGAGTGACAGCAGGGGTTGGGCTAGATGGCCTTTGAGGTCCTTTCCACCACTAGGATTCTATGCCTAGTGAAAGGTGCCCAAAGAGCCCTTAGGAGTCTGCCCGGTGCACCCATTTGTCAACCCCACATCAAATCATCCCGGCGTCCCCTGGGCAATGTCCTTGCAGACGGCCAATTCTCTCACACCAGAAGCAACTTGCAGTTTCTCAAGTTGCTCCTGACACGACAAAAACAAAACAAAACACTCATTTGTGGCATGGGACGGAAGGGGACGTACTCACCTTGAATGTGCAAATTATTATTATTATTATTATTATTATTATTATTATTATTATTATTGTCATGTCAGGAGTGATTTGAGAGACTGCAAGTCGCTTCTGGTGTGAGAGAATTGGCCATCTGCAAGGACATTGCTCAAGGGATGCCAGAATGATTTGATGTTTTCATCATCCTTCTGGGAGGCTTCTCTCATGTCCCCGCATGAGGAGCTGGAGCTGACAGAGGGAGCTCATCCGCCTCTTCCTGGATTTGAACCTGCGACCTGTCAGTCTTCAGTCCTGCCGGCACAGGGGTTTAACCCACTCTGCAACCGGGGGCTCTGTGCAATGAAAATTTTGAACGATACCGTCATTGGACATTCCATCTACGTCTGAACCTTCTGGCAAACAAACTAGTCCAATGTGGGCGAGGCAAAACTACGGTGAGGTGGATCAGGAATTGGTTAAATGGACGAACCCAGAGGGTGATTCTCCCCAAGGCTTCCTCTTCATCCTGGAAAGAAGTGACGAGTGGAGTGCCATCAGCAGGGTTCTGTCCTAGGCCCAGTCCTCTCCAGGATCTTTATTAATGACTTAGAGGAAGGCTTAGAAGGCAGGATCATCAAGTTTGCAGATGACACCAAATTGGGAGGGAAAGCCAAGACTCCAGAGGACAGGAGCAGGATTCAAAACCATCACGACAGATTAGAGAGATGACGGGCCGAAACTTACAAAATGAAGTTCAACAGGGACAAATGCAAGAGACTCCACTTTGGCAGGAAAAACGAAATGCAAAGAGACAGAATGGGGGACAATGCCTGGCTCGAGAGCAGGACGTGTGAAAAAGATCTTGGAGTCCTCGCGGACAGGAAGTTAAACATGAGCCAACAATGTGATGTGGTGGCAAAAAAAGCCAATGGGATTTTGGCCTGCATCAATAGGAGCCTAGTGTCTAGATCCAGGGAAGTCATGCTCCCCATGCTGTATTCTCCTGTGGTTAGACCACTTTACCTGGAATATTGTGTCCAATTCTGGGCACCACAATTCAAGAGAGATATTGACAAGCTGGAATGTGTCCAGAGGAGGGCGACTAAAATGATCAAGGGTCTGGAGAACAAGCCCTATGAGGAGCGGCTTAAGGAGCTGGGCATGTTTAACCTGAAGAAGAGAAGGCTGAGAGGAGACATGATGAGAGCCATGTATAAATATAAATTCGATTTTAGCCGTTCTTGTAAGCCGCTCCGAGCCCAAGGGGAGTGGCCGCATAGAAGTTCAAATAATAAATAAATAATAAAGACGGCCCAGAAGCTTCAACTAGTCCAATGAACGGCAGCCAGGTTGCTAACAGGAGCAGCTCTCAGGGAGCATACAACTAGGAAAAAGGGTTTATATATCTGTGGAATGACCAGGGTGGGGCAAAGAACTCTTGTCTGTTGGAGCGAGGTGTGAATTGTTTGATTAGCATTTGGTGGCCTGGCAGTTCTTTGGTGTGGCTTGATAACAACCACCATGTCAGACTACACAGAGAAGCCATTGAAATCCACAAGAAGCATGTGGACAATTTCAACAGAAAGGAGGAAATCATGAAAATGAACAAAATCTCATATAAACAAAATTACAACAGCAAAACAGCAGAGGAAACAAACAAGGACATCTAATCACCTCTCAACAAAAGATTTCCCCAGGCACTGCCAGGCCATCAAATGCTAATAAGGTGGTCAGTTGAAACATTCACACCTCGCTCCAACAGACAAGAGTTCTTTGTCCCACCCTGGTCATTCCACAGATATATAAACCCATTTTCCTAGTTCCAACAAACCTCACTACCTCTGAGGATCATTTGTTGGATGCTCCGTTCAGCAAAGGACAAGAGGGATCCTCTCACCTCTGCAGGAGTCTACCGTATACCATGCAGCTGTGGACAAGTCTACAGAGGGACCACCAAACGCAGCGCCCAGACACACATCAAGGAACATGAAAGGCACTGCAGACTCCTTCAACCAGAGAAGTCAGCCATAGCAGAGCACCTGATGAACCAACCTGGACACAGCATATTATTTGAGAACACAGAAATGCTGGACCACTCTCACAACCACCATGTCAGACTACACAGAGAAGCCATTGAAATCCACAAACATGTGGACAATTTCAACAGAAAGGAGGAAACCATGAAAATGAACAAAATCTGGCTACCAGTATTAAAAAACTCTAAAATTGCAACAGCAAAACAGCAGAGAGGAAAACCAGGCACATCTAATCACCTTTCAAGAAGAGTTTGCTCCAGGCACAGTCAGCCCATTGTATGCTAATCAAGGTGGTCAGTTGAAAGATTCACACCTAGCCCAACTTACAAAAGCCCTTTGTCTCACCCTGGTCATTCCACAGATATATAAACCCCTTTTTCCTACTTCCAACAGACCTCACTACCTCTGAGGATGCTTGCCATAGATGCAGGCGAAACGTCAGGAGAAAATTGCCTCAGAACATGGCCATATAGCCCGAAAAAACCCACAAGAACTGAGTGATTCCAGCCATGGAAGCCTTCGACAATACATTTGCTTTTTTGTTTCTTGGAATCTGCCCTGAGTCCCCTCAGGGAGATACACAGGGTGGAATATAAACAAAGGCTATTATTATTATTATTATTATTATTATTATTATTATTATTATTATTTGAAACACTGCAAAATGAGTCCACAGCAGACACTTTTCTGGCTGTTGTATTGGATCACACGTCGGACACTTCCCAAGTGTCTAGGACTGTGTGATGTATCAGCAAATAATGCATGCAGATCCCAGTAAGGGGCCTTCTGCAGCTGGCAGATGGTAATTTTGTCAGCCTGATTGTGTTTAAGGGCAAGCCAAGGTCTTTAGCACTGCACTCAGTGTGCCGATCACCACTGGGACCACTTTGACTGGCTTGTGCCAGAGTCTTTGCATTACGATCTTTAAATCCTTATATCATGTCAGCTTTTCCAGTCATAGAATCCTAGAATCAAAGAGTTGGAAGAGACCTCCTGGGCCATCCAGTCCAACCCCATTCTGCCAAGAAGCAGGAATATTGCATTCAAAGCACCTCTGACAGATGGCCATCCAGCCTCTGTTTAAAAGCTTCCAAAGAAGGAGCCTCCACCACACTCCGGGGCAGAGAGTTCCACTGCTGAACGGCTCTCACAGTCAGGAAGTTCTTCCTCATGTTCAGATGGAATCTCCTCTCTTGTAGTTTGAAGCCATTGTTGTAGTTGCTGGGATTTATTGACCACCTACAATCAAAGAGCATTCTGAATTCTACCAGCAATGGAATTGAGTCAAACTTGGCACACAGAACTCTCATGACCCACAGAAAATACTGGATGGGTTTGGTGGGCATTGACCTTGAGTTTGGGAGTTGTAGTTCACCTACATCCAGAAAGCACTGTGAACTCAAACAGTGATGAATCTGGGCCAAACTTGGCATGAATTCTCAATATGCCCAAATGTGAACACTGATGGAGTTTGGGGAAAATAGACCTTGACATTTGGGAGTTGTAGTTGCTGGGATTTATAGACCACCTACAATCAAAGAGCATTCTGAATTCTACCAGCAATGGAATTGAGTCAAACTTGGCACACAGAACTCTCATGACCAACAGAAAATACTGGAAGGGTTTGGTGGGCATTGACCTTGAGTTTGGGAGTTGTAGTTCATCTACATCCAGAAAGCACTGGGAGACTCAAACAGTGATGGATCTGGGCCAAACTTGGCATGAATTCTCAATATGCCCAAATGTGAACACTGATGGAGTTTGGGGAAAATAGACCTTGACATTTGGGAGTTGTAGTTGCTGGGATTTATAGCTGACCTACAATCAAAGAGCATTGTGAACACTACCAATGATTGAATTGGGCCAAACTCCCCACACAGAACCTCCATGACCAACAGAAAATACTGTGTTTTATGATGGTCTTTGGCGACCCCTCTGACACCCCCTCACAACCCCTCCAGGGGTCCCGACCCCTAGGTTGAGAAACACTGCCCTACCTGCTCTTAGGAGTTCTTGTGGGAGCTGAAGTCCAAAACACCTGGAGGGAAGGAGGAAAGGCCCAAGTTGGTCTGGTTCCTCCGGGAGGTCTAGTTCTCCTTCGGCTGGAGGACAAGCCAGAGGGCACTGGTTGGGCCCCGCTTTCCCTTTCCTTGCCTTCCTTCCAGGAAATGAGGGGCGAGGGGGCTCCTTCTCCGACTGGGGTCCTCTCCTCCTTCCAGCCAGGGAACCAAGGAGCTCCTGCTTTGCTCCGCACCTGTTCGGAGGTCTCTCCTTTTCAGGGCCCCGGGGAGCCCTGAGCATGTGCAGAGTGCGGGCGGGGCCCCTCTCTTCTACCTCTTCTTCCTCCTCCTCCTCCTCCTCCTCCCGTTCCTTACCTGGGCAGGCTCTTCGGGGGAGAGCTCCCCGCTCCTCTTGCCGGGCTCCCGGGGGTCTCCTTCCGACCCCGGCCGCCCCCAATGAAAGGTCATAGAATCATAGAATCATAGAATCAAAGAGTTGGAAGAGACCTCATGGGCCATCCAGTCCAACCC